TTAATTCCCATCCATCAAACTATATAATGGGAGTAATCATGCGTATCTTAATTTCAATATCAACAATTATAGTATTTACTAAAAAACTTTTTTAGTTGACAGAATGACAGTTGTCAATAATCATGAAATGATCGACGACACTCCAAAATGATGAAATATAAAAACTAGATATAAAACTTTAATAATAATGAAATATTCTTATCGTCTAGCACTGCATAAAATACCTCTCTTTGCGAATATCCCCACTTTAAAAGACCCGGGTATATTACATGGCCTAAAAATCTTAATTCTGGTAGAATTAGGCTAATTTTGGTCATATGTGGTATATCTCACAAAGTACCCTCACTACCCTGGTTATTATTCAAATTTTTAAATCAGGTATTTTGTAACCCGGAGTATTTTATGCAGTGCTAGACGATACTTCATGATTGTGATTATAAATTTTCATTCTGAAAAAATAATTTACCTTTTTACATTAATACAGTTTTCAGAATTGAAAACTATTTCGGAATTTTGATTATTTTTTTTACACATCTTGTAATATATAAAATGTCTTATTAGTTAACAGTATGAAAATTGACGCTATTCTCCTATCGTTTATTAATGCCATTTTGCGAATCATTACTTGGTATTATTGGTTCCAACAAACCATAATTTCAAAGTCACTTATGATTGCTTTATTGTGGTTTGCATAAATAAAAGAATTACGAATCTGGACAATTCACATTTCAGAGTTTAACTTGTTTATTAAGGACCAGTCACTTATCTTATGCATGAAATCACGAGTCACGACATATTTGGTTAAAATAATTTGCTGATAAATTTTGCTGATATACAGTGTAACGAAAAAGTTGCTATTTAAATACGTTTAATTTCTTTCTATTTAACATATTTATAAAAAAGTTTTAAATATTTTAAATATGCAAATATATTTATTTTATAAAACAATGGTTAATAATAATATTGTTTAGCTTTTTTCAAATAAATTTTATTTATATTTATTGTGACATATGCGACATTTTGTTACGGCGATTTTTTTCGCTACACATTATAATTGTTTCATTGTTCTTAATCGTTCTATTAACTATTCTTTGAGTTCATCCATATTTATCTGTTACAACCGAATTGTTGACAATATCAGTTTCTGTTTCTTTTCTGTCCTTGTAATTTTTTCCTCGAGATACTCATTATTTTTTTCTATATTTATAATTTGCGTGCATCTTTCTTCCACATTAGTCCCGCGAATTATTTATACCGCGGCACATTACTCTTTATTACTAGGAAACAGGAACTGTTGGAGCGAAGCGTTATAATCACATGATCATCAATTACATATTACAAAAAAATTAAAATTGTCTGCAAAAAAAAATGTCTTGCTAAAGTTAAAACAAAATGTATTGGCGTATTGCTAAAAAATGTATAGTTAAAAAATGTATCGCTAAAGTTATAGTTAAAAAATGTTAAAAATGTATAGCTAAATAATCTAGTTAAATTCTTCGTTGTACTACGTTACAGATTTTTGATTTATTTCCGAAATGTTGTTCGATAAAAAAAAATTTTCACACAAAAAGCGTTTTGTTTAATTTTTGTTTTAAGCTACGATTTCAAATTTTTACAAGCAACGATTTATTAACACTTTAGAAAGCCAACGATATAATTTTATTATAATTTATACAGTCAAACCTCTATGTACCGATCCCCGGTGTACTGATAATTTCCTGTACCGATAAATTTTCATTGTCCCATTTCACGTATAATAAAAAAACCGCGTTGTATCGATATTGTATATAATTTCGCGATGTAACGTATACCGATACTTTTTCTTGGTCCCTTTTCAATAACATATAATATTAAGATGTACCGATATTTTAGCTACATTAGTATTAATTCGGGCCAGCACTATAAAGTTGGCCCGAGTAAAAGATTTAATTTGAACTCTTTTGCGGTTTATTTTGCCGAAATTTAATTATTTTGGCCCATTAATCGGGTGGTGTCTGTCCGCATTATGTTACTCGTAATATATTCAATGTATTGATATTAGAAGCATCGGTATCAAGGTCTGACTGTCCGCTAATCTGATAATAGACGTGATTTACAATACCGATAATTCAATGTACCGATACTTTTTCCCTAATACAACCTCATCGGTACATAGAGGTTTGACTGTAATTCGTAATTAATGATAAGGATCAATAAAAAAAAAAATCAATTATCACTAATTTATATTAAAATTTTTTGTATTTTTCTATAACTTTAATATAATAATATTTACCAGTAATTATTTTATTGATTTTTTTATTAAATAATTTTTGGTTAGATTTCCACATATTTCCACAATATTCAATGTGAATTTCCAACGTAATATAAATTCCATCGTATTTATTTTTATTTTTATTTTTAATATCCATGTGAACAAGATTACAGAAAGATAGACAAGAACTAATTAAAATAAAAAGTCAAACGCTATCTAAACTACGCTATAATCAAACCGCCCGAAAGACAGCGCCACCCTGGTGCGAAAATTTAATAGAAACCGTGGAGGATCAACCGAAGCATTTCCTACCACCTTACACTAGAGAAAAGGTTAAAGGAAGAAAAAAAATAATAAGAAAAAAATGTGAACTATGGGGATCTAAGAAAAGTGAAATCTGGTAAATAATTGCAATCCGCGAATAATAGAGTATCTCTATAAGATTCCCAAGTACCACTATGTAAAAAATTACAAGAAGTCCACCGAATACTGGCGGAATCGTCTATATTGACGATATGCTTAAAATAGGGAAGGGTTTTGTTATAATAATAACCCGTATAATTGCCTCGAGAACCACTCGAGGGTATATAAATTCCATCGTATAAGATCTGTATTTATAAATAAATAGTCGTTCGCACTAACACGTGAAAATAAAGAGTGACGAAATATATGTGTAGTCACGTGTCAGCCACTTGGCTAGGGCTTTTTATCCGTCACAATGATCAATCGAATTATACGATTAAAATAACTTTTTCAAATATTGAAGTCTTACCAACTTAGGCATCTTTGAGGAATTATTGAAATCTAGTTCAAAAATAAAAAAAAATCATTACTCAATGCTCATGTCAACAAAATCATTTGGTAATATATTAATCAAATTATCAAAAAAATTTATTGATTATAAAATCATCAAAACCATCATCTTTTTTTAATCAATATTCATTTAATTGGAAATTTTCTTGAAAATTTCTTAATTTTATGGAATTTTTCTAAATAACATTTATTACATTTATATTAAGTCAAATTATATTTTTAATATTCTAAACAATATAAATGAAATGAATACACGTTGACAATCGTTAAAATTGTCTAAATTAATCACAAAAAATCAGGCGTAGACCGATATTAGAGAATTATTATCTTATATTAAGTTCATTATATAACATATTTTTAACCTCTATTTGAAGGTTTCTCATAATAATAGTAATGTTTTATGTTGAGGAATAAGAGTTTAGAGTCGTGGATTGTAGCTTTAAAATTTCCAATTATTAATTTTGCACATAAAAGCACATAAATATTTGTGTAAATTAACTGACCATAATGAAATAATAATAAAAGAACTCTTAACTGTTAAGTAAGTGATTTATTTTTAACAATAGACACGATAGAAAAGTGTTTAATTATGATGATACTCTTTTTTACAAATTTATTAAATCCCGCATAAAGCTCGGGCACGTGATTCACTGATTCATGTGTAGAGTTGTCAACATTTAACTCTAAAGGTAATCTTTCAGCCATTCAGCCTACCCTAATCCTATGCTTAAAACGTCAGTGGTACAGATTTTAATTTATAATTAATTTAAATCTACTATATAATAATTGTTTTCCTGTGTGACAGTCACGTTTAGATTACATATTTATATCTGTGATCCCGTAACGTTTAGACTACAATTTATACCTGTGTATCCGTAACGTTTAGACTACGAATTTATACCTGTGCACCCGAAAGACTGTATAAAATCGCGTATAACATTTGACCGTCGTACCAATCACGTGTATGTTTATCTGACGTTGCGGAGCAACGGGGTTCAACGGCTAGTTACAATTAAAAAAAACTAAATAAAATAATTTACAATGGTAAATTACTGTATTAACAAGTGTTATATTAGTATGGCCTTCCATGTTAATGAATACTGTAGTACACTTTTTTAAAATTTTTCAACATCCTCAACTAATTTATTAATAGGTCTTTACTGCTTTATATTACTGAAGTTTCTGTTCTTCTAGAAGTGAATAATTTTCTGGCATTCAAATAGAATTCTATTATCAAGCCAACTTTTCATTTTAAAAATTCTTGGTAATGTGGACTGCTTGAATAATAGCTTAAATGATACACGAAATATGTTACGCTTGCTGCATCATCACTATCGGGTGAACTACATCCATATGGACTTTGTCGTATATGATATGCTGCTGTTATACTTTGGAACCTCGTCGTTCCATACTGCTTTGTGATCTTCGCTTATCACCGCTGCTAAAATATCCGCTATCACGTGAAACCATCACCACCTGATTCTAAGTGGAAACCCATGCTTATTGAACTACTTTGTCGATTATGTGCAAGAATTGTTGACCCATCACAAAGCGAACTTCGTCGTGAACTTAAAAGTTGAACACCAGCTCTGGCACGTTTTAAATGTTGGTCACTGGATCTAGTACGTTCCAAAGGTTGACTAATGGACCTTGTACGTTCTAAAGGTTGACTATTGAGTGATTTTGTGCGTTCTAAAGGTTGACTATTAAGTGATCTTGTACATTCTAAAAGAGAAATGTTTTCATCTTATGGTGTAGATGGTGTAGATGGTGTAGATGGACCATTAGATGGTCTCTTTAATCTTCGACCATTTGAAATCCTTCTCTTTACATTATTATTGTTATCACCACTAGATTCACTATTACCAGAATCTTTTCTTCTTGGATTTGTTGGAACATCTGGCATCGTTTCATTAGTTTGTTCGAGCACATTTTCACGTGGTTGAAGATTTAACCAAGCGGGAGGTATTGGTGGTCTTAAGAAATTTGCACTATTATTACCAGTATTCATTGGACTTGCAAACAATAGTGAAGAGAAGTAAGCTGCATCATCGTCAAAGAGATATGAATTGCGTTCCCAGTTGACCAGAAGTTCCAAGAGTTCCTGCTGATACTGCAGCTTCGACTTCTGCATAAGCTTGATCTAATTTATGATCAAATAAGGAAATGGCATTGAAAGTACTATTTTCAATATCATCCATCTGCAATTCTCTCTTTTCCAGAGTTGATGGACTTGGTGATCTTTCACCGAGACGTAAAGCTTCTTCAAGTTCTCTGTTTTTCTTTTCATATTCACTTGTTGTAAGAACTGCAGCTCTTCTCATGGCCAATAAAGTTTTTCTTAAATCCATAATTGTCTTTTCTTGTTGTTCTAAGGTCATTCATCAAGACCAATCTCCAGTTCGAGAATCAACAATTTCCTTAAAGAAGGATTCCAATATTGTATAACTTTCATATTCATCAAAATTTCGTTCAATTTTACTAGACTTGATACTATTCTTTCGTGATTTATCTTCAGATTCTTTGCTATATTCACCGGCAATACTTAATTGTAAAGAATGAATCTTAGCATTAATATAAGCAATTTCCGAGGTGATCATCTCAATCTTATCATCTAATGCTTGAGCATCTCCTCCTAACTCATTTCCAATTTCACTAGTAATTATCTTTTCACGTTCTACAAATAATTCATCCTTCTCCTCTTGTAATTATTCTTTTAACGATCCATTCATCCATCATCATTGTCAATGTTTGACGATCACTAATATATTTATAGATTTCTTCATCAAGAAGTTTTTTCTTATCATAACCACTGGCAAATACTTCATCATAGATAGGACTAAAATCATCAGAGGATCGTCCCGATTCCTTTCTGTCTTCATCATTTCTAGATATTGATTGTTTTCGTATGTGATTACGGAAAGCCTTGGTAAATGACTTTGGAGTAGTGGTTCGTTTGAGTAATTCCATAACTGATTTAAGTTTAATGTTCGTTAGTGAAACTTCTTCCTGTCTCTTTTCAAGCATAATTTTTTTGCATTTCATTAGTTCTTACTTTTGTTCTTGGGCAGCTTTTTCTTTACGACGAAGACTTTGAATTTCACGTTGATTATGTTCAGTTATTTCACGGACACGTTCAGCTTCATCTTTCATACGCTTCATCATTCGCATCTTTTCACTTTTTAGTTGTTTAATTTGAGCACGCATACTCTTGAGTATTGTTTCAATTTCGATTCCACGTTCAACAGCAGCATGTTCTATTGAGCTTTCATATTAGTATATTCTTGTTCAGCACGTTCCAATTGTGAAACGAGTTGTTCTTTAATGGCAATATCAGCTTGAATTTGATGTACCGTACGGGTAAGATCAATAACGGTATGTTCTTGTTGAGATTAGCAGCCAGTGCCACCTTGAGAATATTTAGTTGAACCATTGATCGGAGAAATCAATTTTTTCTTTTTGATGATTGCGAATCAATTGATCAACATAACTTTCACTCTTAAGTAGTTCTCCTAGTTGATGAGGGTTGTTTTATTAATTGACTTAAATAGGACCATCATGTAAAGAGCCTTCACTCCTTATTATCATGTAATCTCGTCTGAGTTGTTCCTTGTCCTTTTCAAGCTTATCTCTGGTCTTTGCTACGTCTTCTTAATTTTTGAGTTAATTTGAATAATTCAACTTTCAAATTTTCATCATCTCCTTCTTCAGCGTTTTCTTTATCATCATATTTTGTGAATAAGATTTTAGTTTCTTCCAAATTTTGATCATTGACGACATGTCCAAGTTGATGAGATGAAGAAGGACCAATAGGTGAGATTTTAGTAGAAGTCGAATTGGAAACTAGGAAGTGACCATCAGATCTTATCTTACTTTCCTTTGAAGAACGTTTCTTCTTCTTTTTTACCTTTCTTCTCAGCATTCTCTTTATTATTATTATTATTATTGTCATCATTATTATTAAGACGATGAATAACATCATCAAGTGAATAAATATGAGGATCGAAGAATCTCTTCCTGGTGGTGTTCCAGCCAAGGAAGATTTACGTGGATGATGAGAAGCTTCTAAAAGTTCAGAAATCTGATTTTAAGATTTTTAATTTCTGTTTCATAACCTTGAACGATAAAATGAGTTTTAATTCTATGTTCACGGTCAGTATCTGATCATTAAAACTAACGGTATTATGATAGCAATGTATATTCTTAGTATATGTTATAAAAATGCAATAGATGTTGAAAAAGATTTTTGAATTATTTACAACTGAAGAAGAGTATTCAAATGGAATATTGATGTTGGGATATTGTTATGTATGATGAAGGTATCGGAACTAAAATTGACAATCAAAAAGCATTTGAATTATATCAAAATGCTGCAAATTTAGCAAATGATGTAAATCTTGCTTCAATATATGAAAAAGGAGATGGAATTACAAAAGACATAGATAAAAAGCAATTTATTTGGTATGAAAAATCTGTAAAACAAGGAAATCAGGAATAAATCAGGATGCGACGATTGCGACGCGTAGTCTCATGTAATCATATTTATATTGATCACAAAATAGGTCAAAAAAATCAGCAATTATTAATTTACAACGCTAATTTTTTAAAAAATTCAAGATAATGAATACATTACCTCAAAAACATAAATATTCTATATATCTTTATTTTATAATATATGAATTAGGGTTGGATCACAAAAGACCGGTCTTTCAGCCCAAGTCCTTTATTTTATTTATAATGGCGGTTTATAGTTGATCAGCAAAACAAAAGAAATAAAGGTCACAATTTTTGAGCTTAATTTATTATTGTTTTCATTGTTATCTATAAAGTATGGTTCAAATGAGAATAAAAATACTGGTCCATTTTAAAAAAAAAATTGTAAATCTGCACATATCGGCGGATATGTTCGTTTGCATGTGATAATTTAATAGTGTTTGATTCCCCATTACTATGTATGCAATGAGTCATATCGGCCCATACGAATGGTTAAAAAATTATTTTATTTCTCGTACCTAAACCTGAAAATCTTGATATTCCAAAATGGCCGAAACTTTGATTAATAATATGTAATTTGTCATCATATAATTGGTCTGATGACTGATGATCAAACCCTACTTATCTTTTGGAAGAAATTTTTAAATATAATAAAAAAAAAGTAAACCGCAAATCTAAAGCAAAAATAAAAAAAGTCAGTTGATATCAAATGTTTTTTGATCAAAAACAGTTCCGCCTCTTTCACTTTTCCCTACTCAATAAATAAATAAATAAAATTTATTTTAACATTAATTACAATTATTTTTATTACAAACAGATAAAATGTAATGTTTACTGAATTATGATCGAATACTGTAATAATAATGTTACTAATTGTAACTTTTCATTTATTTCTTAATTTACAATTTAACATTTAATTTTTGAATACTTTTCTTCGCAGGTAATTTAATTTAAGAGTTTCATAACTAATTTAGACAAAATAACATAATATATTATCGTATATACTGTAGGTTATTTTTTAAAATCAATTTATTGGTTTGAAAAATCCGCCAAACAAGGAAATCAAGGTGCACAAAATAGTTTAAAAAAAATCAATAATTTATATAATTATTAAATTGTAAAACTTTAAACTATTTTATGTAAGTAATTTTTCTTATATATATTTTCTTATTATAAAATAAATTTTGTGTCTATTATTATGTCATTCATTTTAAATTAAATCATCTTTCCACATCAGTAATATAAATATGTAGAAGTTTAATAAGCTGTCATTTTCAGTGAAAAAAAAATAAATTAATAGAATTTAATGGGATAAACTCAATTGAAAACTGTAAAGGGTAACAAATAAATAAAAACGTATATCGAAAACTAAAATAAGAAATAAGGTTAAAATAACTTAATATTACTGTAACGCGAATGATAAACGAAAGTTAATTTATGGATAAGTCAACATTTCGGATTTTTTTGCAAACTAATTTTACGAAACATCAATTAAATTTTAACAAAATAAAAATTTTACTATTTATGATTTTTTTTTTCAACAGATTGTCGTTAGCAATAGTAATAAATGATCGAAACACCCATGCGCCACTTGCGCCACTTTGTAGGATTAATGATCATTTTTCAAAATATAAAATGATATAATTATTTAATAATGATGAAATATTCTTATTTCACAATTAATAAAATTAACTTATATAATTTCACTACTCGTATTATATAAAATATGTCTCTACATTTTGACAATCGCTAAAATCACAAAAATCTAGACCGATATAAAAAAAATGTATTTATTATTCTAAAATAATATATGCAAATATGCGAAAGGAAATGAAATTATCTTAGTATATAACAAGCTAGCAGCAAAAGTTTAGATTCTGCTATTAAGAAAAAAATTCGAAGTCAGGTGGTTCTAGACAACGAAGGTTATTGATTTGTTGGAATACTAGTTAAGAATCTTTCCAAGTTTATTTACGTTAAGTATTTTTAGAAAAATTTAAATTTTTTTTTTGTTTACGGAATTTGGTTTCAATTCGTGGTAGGTTTTATCATCTTTAGTTAGATTAGAATTTATCGCGAATAATAACTTTCATATCTTGTTATCGTATGCAAACGAAACTTTGTCGTTGAGATAATTCTAAGTGTATTATGTTGGGTACGTTAGAACTTTGCTATTTATTTAATTGAAAGAGTAACTTACCGTTTACATTGTTATTGTCGTATATAGTTAATTGGTATCAATATTGTTGGGACAGATTTTCAAATCTTTCAACCAAGATAAATTTTATTATTGGAACATTGCAATAACGATCTCTATACTCATTCAATGTCTTATAATATAAAAATTGAAATAATGTACAGTCATTATACAATATATATATTTTCTGTTTACTTTTTGTTATAATTTGTAATGTTTATTAATATGTTACTATATGTTTAACGCATTTTGTTCTATTTAGGACTTCTTTACTCAAGCTAATATTATAATTTTCTAAAGTTCTTGGAATATCTTACAAATAGAAAAAGAAAAATCATTATCGCATACATCAAAATTTGAAATTTAACTTAGTTAATTGGTTTAAAAAATATTTTACATTTTATCACTTTTCATTATGGAATATATTTTACAATAAGTCCTACTTCATATTGCGTCGATAATTATAGGAAATAAAAGTCTGCTTTTATAGTTCATATATATTAACCAATTCTTCCAGGTAAAGAGGTGCGCCAAATATATATAAGTCCTTCCCAGGTGTGTCATTAATTCCAAAAATCGCCCATATAAAAGGTGTAACATTGCACATTTACGCAGTGCAAGAGTTCTGGCGAAATTTCTGAAACCTGGATAATTGCACAATGACTCATTATGAAACCATAAAAATAAACAAAATAATATGCTGTGAAAGAAACATAGTTTAGTTTTCTATGTTTGATACCTTATTTATAATAAACTCTTATTTATTGTTGCATTAGTAGAAATTTTGTTTGAAAATTATTTATAATGTTTTTTTTTATTGAGCAAATCATTACTGAGATCGTAATTTCGGTACTGCAAAAATTACGTGTCCCTTAAAAAAAAAAAAAAAATACTAAATGCAATTATATTTTTACATGAAATTAAAGACTTATGAAAAGATTTTCTAATTATATTCTATCAACTTTACTTTTTACCATATAACCTTGATATATTGTAATTTTTTGAAGAGTAGAAAACTAACAATAAAAAAGGAAATTACCCGGCATTATCAGGTACTATCCTGTTGACACAACTTACACAACTTTTACATGCCGTTGCATAATCTGAACTATTTTGGTATCCATATCCGTGATTTGGTGTTCCATATGGTGTTCCGTGTCCGTGGCGGCACAACCATTTTTCTTTCGAAATATATAAAAATATCTGTCATGATCCTAAAAATAAAAATAAAATATATATTATAAAAATAAACGAAAAGTCAGTATTGTTCATAATCAGTATAAGTTTTTATATGATCAGCTCCTTTTCAAGTGCATTTTGATCTCCAATGATTTTTCTAAAAGAAAATTTTAAAGTGATTTTTCATTCTGGTTAATTATATGCTTTAGTAAAGGCGGTTAATAAGGAAATATAAAGCACTGCATATTTACCTGTTATTTAAGAATTTTAATATAATTATTCAGCAATGGCTCAAAGTAATGAGAAAGGTAAAAGCATATAACATGAATTTAGATATTCGACACAAACTGTAATCATTCTAAAATTTTTAAAACAAAATAAAACTAGTTTTAAGCGCCGAGGAAGATAAAGGTAAGTAAATTTGTTTAAAACAATTCAGTCAGCTCTCCATACATGCACTCCATCGGGACTGGGCACAGGTGAGCATAAATTTATCATGGGATTTATTTATATAATAAAGTCAGTTGGATATTAAATATAATATTCATTTATTATTAAATTACATTATCTACATATATATATATATGATATTTATGTTATTTATTTGTATAATTAACAAGTAATTTCATCATTATTTGGCAATATTTATTATGAGTAGTAATGAAAAAAAAACAGGTCGCACAAAATCACGTGTGTGCATTTGTAGAATTATTGCGTGTAGTCGTGGATTTTCCTCATCCCATAATTTATCATTTTTCTACAAATCAGATGACAGTTTCATTTCGTGATTACTATCACGACTATTTATATTTATCAACCAACTAGTCAATGCTGTACAGGCATATTACTAAAAGGTGTGGTATAAATCTAAGTGATTTGTTTAAGCGGGTTGGGATTGGTGAAACGTGATAATGTACCGTTAATTTCGATGTGTGCTATGAATCAGAATTATTCAAGCGGGTAAAAAAAACAAATAAATATTATTATTGTAATTGAAAAAGATATAGTAAGAAATAACTATTTTATTTGATATACGTAGAACAACGAAGTATCTCTTGTTTACTAGTATCTAATTTGTTTATTTAAATTTATATTTAATGTCTAGCTATAGTTTTCGCTATTATTACTATCGACGCGCTAAAAATTTCTTTTGATCACCATTTATTAAATTTTATAATAAAATAAACATATCTGAAAAACTAACAAACAATAGTATTTTATAAAATGCGAGTATGTGATGAAATTAAAAAATGATCGGCGTTTATGTGATAATTAAGTAAGCCCAGAGTATATTATATTGTATAGTACGATTTTGTAAGTTAGTATCATGTTTGTGGAATTTTACTTTGTATGATTTTTTATGGTACATATACTTATCACAATATATAATAATATGTATGTATGATAGTATTTATTTAAAGATAAATGCACATAAATAACGATATGCTAGTATAAAAAATAAAAATATTAATTTAAATTTTTATTTTCATATTTTAAAAAAGGAACGAGCGCCATCGAAAAAGTGTATGACGAGGCTGGTAAAAAAGTATGATTTATATACGTGTATATGATTTTTTTTCACTACATACGTACAATTTTTCTATATTTAACAATCAAAGTAGTACGTACAATTTAAAATCATACGTACTAACAAAAAATGCAATATACATACTATTTTACAAAATCATACTACTATACTAAGATCGGATACACCGAACATGATTGATATGTAGCACGATGATATAGATACTAGAATTCTAGATTTGCAAATTAATAAAATTAATACGAAAAAGAAAAGATGAAACAAAGTAAATCTTTTGGTTGTTGTTTTTTTCTTATAAAAGAAGTAACTGATTTAATCCGAATTCAAAAAAANAAGAAAAGATGAAACAAAGTAAATCTTTTGGTTGTTGTTTTTTTCTTATAAAAGAAGTAACTGATTTAATCCGAATTCAAAAAAAAAAAAATAAAAAAACATTTATTTTAATAAAAATCTAATTACATGAAAATTTAAGTAATCATGAGTCGAATTTTTATTTTGGCATTCCTTTTATTTGCTACGCTTTTTGCGGTCAATGCAGCACCACTTGAACTTGAAAAAAGAGAAACTTAATTTCAACCATGTCCCAATTTGCCACCAGATGTAGTGGGACTCAATATAAAAATGACACCTGATCGGCTGATCCTGTCGTTCCTAACACAGAAGAAACGTTTGACATTAAAGGAACAATGAAAAAGATATTGTCGCTGGAGATTGGCTTGGGATTGCATTCGTCGATGTTGTCGCGAAAAAACTAATAGGAGATACCCATTTTGTGGATATGCCTGGAGTTACTTGTCCGATTAAAGCCGGAAAAGCATTTTCTATAACGCAGAAATGCACTACACCAGAATTGACAATACCATACGCTATTGGAATTTTAATTGGACATCATGAACAAACAAAACCATACGCCTGTTCAGTTGCTTTTGATAATTCTTCTGCTGTACCTGACTTTTGGAGTTTTTTATAATTATTTGATGTACCTATTTTAATTTACGCGAATTTTAATTAATAATAAGTAAATTAATTAGTTAATTAATTAATAATAATTTTATTGTTATTTAAAATTTTTTTTTTTTATATTTATTAAATTTGCGTTTAAATATTTTAAATGTGAAACATTTTATAAATATTATCTCGTTGGTACTCGGTATCTGAAAAGCCAATTACAACGCGTCAACACCAAAATTATTAATTTAGGAAGATAATTTTGTGATCGTATAGTGTAATCACTAAATTCTCTAGGCACTATACTGTACTATACAGATGCTATTATTCATTTAAGTACTGTGTTCTTACTTATTTTACCCAAAAAAAGATATATGCAGTTTTTGAACTAGTGCTTTATCCGAATGTATTATATACCGTATTTTTTTATGGTATCCGATCAAAATCTCGACAGTCACTTGCACGAGCACAAGACGACAACAAAATCTCGACAATCCATCGACAATTTTGTAAATCTAATGATGAGTGTTCTAATAAAATAATTTGTTGCAATATGTAATATTTAGTTAAATGTGGTAAATTTTATAATTTTGTTAGAATAATCAACTTGTCGGTATAATGATTTGTCGGTATATTGACTTGTCAGGATTTTGACTTGTCAAGACTTTGGATTGTTGAGATTTGTTGTCGGTCTTGTCTCAGTCGTTTCGAGATTTCGTACAAAAACCAATTAAACATATTTGGTTTATTCTGCTGATAGATAAATTTTAAAATGAAAAAGAAATGAAACCTACCTCTTACTCCTAAATTATAGTCCTAATTTTTCTCTTGTTTTAGTTAGAAATAATTTTTTTAAAAATAATTTCATATGCTTTGTTATTAGTATGTTAGCTGATTTTTAAAAAGATAAAAATTTTTTACTGATCTACAAAATTCAAATTTCTACACTCCTCCCATATCCTTTTTTAAATTCTGACGGCTGAAATTTCATCATTACTTCTTATGTTATAAACAAAGCACAGCCGCTTTCTTATCTAAAGAAACAACGACCAGATATGTCTAAAAATTTTTTTTTTTAAACAAAAACGAAATTAGTTAAGATATCCAACGCAGTAATACATAATTATTATTTTAGTATGCCCTATAAAAAATATACTATTCGGTTTTTTGTTCGGAAAATCGCGGATCCCATTCCGAACATTTACTTGACATTTATTGGACGTTAATCATGATATTGTACGTTTTTTATTTATGTGTTAAAACTTCTCAGTCTCCGCAACCCCTATAAAAAAACTTCTGGGAAAAACTTTAATAAATGATCATTTTTCTAGTTTTTATTCCAAAGAAACTCAGACATGTGATCATTTTTCTGAAAAATTTTTTATAGGGATCTTGTATTAAATTGTAACAAACATTGTATAATAGCGTGCGAGTGTCCGGAAAATTGACCCCATTCCGAATATTTATCGGACAAACATTTTTTATAGGGATGATTTTCTTCTAACATGATTGATGTATAGCATGATGATATAGATTCTAGATTTCTAGATTTGCAAATTAATAAAATTAATACGAAGATGAAACAAAATAAATCTTTTGTGGTTGTTGTATTTTTCTTATAAAAGATAATTATTTTAATAAAAATCTGATTACAAGAAAATTTAAGTAATCATGAGTCGAATTTTTATTTTGGCATTCGTTTTATTTGCTACGCTTTTTGCGGTCAATGCAGCACCACTTGCACTTGAAAAAAGAGAAACTCAATTTCAACAATGTTCCGATTTTCCAGATGTAGTGGTACTCGATGTAAACATGACACCTGATCCTCCCGTTTCTAACACAGAAGAAACGTTTGTTATTAAAGGAACAATGAAAACCAATATTATCGCTGGAGATTGGCTTGCTTTTATATTCTACGATCTTTACGAGCAACGACCCATAGGAGATACCCATTGGTTTGATATTTGTACAAGACCTGGAGTTACTTGTCCGATTAAAGCCGGAAAAGCATTTTCTATAACGCAGAAATGCACTACACCAGAATTGCCTTTATTATACACTATTGGAATTTTAATTGGACATCATGAACTAACAAAACCATACGCCTGTTCAGTTGCTAAGATTATTGGTGATAGTGAATCTTCTGCTGTACCTGACTTTTAGAGTTTTTTATAAGTATTTGATGTACCTATTTTACACGAATCTTTAATTAATAATAAGTAAATCAATTAGTTAATTAATAATAATTTTATTTTTATTTTAAATTTTTTATTTTATATTTATTAAATTTGCGTTTAAAATATTTTAAATGTGAAATATTTTATAAATATTATCTCGTTGGTACTCGGTATCCGAAAAGCCAATTACAACGCGTCAACACCAAAATTATTAATTTAGGAAGATAATTTTGTGATCGTATAGTATAATCACTAAATTCTCTAGGAATTATACTGTACTATACAAATGGTATTATTCATTTTTAAAGTATTGTGTTCTTACTTATTCTACCCAAAAAAAGATATATGCAGTTTTTGAACTAGTGCTTTATCTGTTTGGTATCCGATCAAAATCTCGTTGCACGAATTTCGATAATCCAAAATCCTGACAATTGTTGCAATATGTAATATTTAGTTTAAATGTGGTAAATTTTATAATTTTGTTTTAAAATTGTCAGAATAATCAACTTGTCGGTATAATTTATTTTGACTTGTCAAGATTTTGGATTGTCGAGATTTGTTGTCAGTCTTGTGTCAATCGTTCAGATGATTTTCGAAATTTCGTTTAAACATATTTGGTTTATTCTGCTGATAGATAGATTTTAAAATAAAAAGAAATGAAATTTCTTTATAAATATGAAACATTGACGAAAGAAAGATTTGAAATTGAATAGATACCATTCTAATTTTTAAAAAATAATTTCATATGTGCTTTGTTATTAGTATTGTTATCATAGAGTAAAAAACAGACAATAACCTTTTTCCTATTTGGTAATCTGTTGTACTCTTTAAAATACTGTATTACAATTTTTTTTTATATTTTTTAATAATATAAAGTGACCCAGGTAAACGATCGTCGGTCGTGATCTACATGAAAACTTTGCTCGCGAATTTAATATCTTAGATTTAGATTATTGGATTTAGGATTAGTTTAGTATTTTTGTTTATATAGTATTTCTATAACTTGTATCAAACTAATGGCATATTTGTAATTTCTTTAATAAATAATTTTGTTAACCGGAAAAAAAAAAGATTATTGGATTTAGGACAGCGCCAAATGCTATCGTCCATATGAGAGAATTATATAATCTGAAAAATATTAAAGACAACCAAATTCAATCCAAGTTAACTAATTTCGGCCTTCAAATTAATGATCAAGAGATATTAGTGAGGTCAAATCACGAATATAAGATTGTTTAATATTCAAGAATTGCTTTTATTAAGAGATAATCCACTGATAGTTTTAACAGTCGAAGATATTAACCAATACAAAAATATTTTGAAAAAAGAATTAAATAATAATTTCATTGTTGATAATATTAGACTTATGAAAAAAAATAATTTTAATATAATAGAAAATTGCAAAACTAAAAAAATGGAAATTTCAGGGGGGAATATATATAACGTTAAAGGAGACATTAGTACTAGTAATTCACTTTTCTTTAGAAATTTTTTGTCCCTAGGAAATTAAAAATAATATTTTTAGACCTAATGATAACGATTGACGGTAAATTTATGTTAACTTTTTATGAAATATTTCAAAAGAAGTTCGTTGGATTTAATTCATCTAGAAGGAATTTGATTGAAAAAGCCTGGATGGATCTAGAGTCTGAATTGATATAACATTCTGAGGTGGATAGGAAAATCAAAGAATGTATATTTATAAAATTGACGAACAATTTTATTGAAGACTTAAAAGGTAGCGAATTACAACAAGTATCACATGGGCCTTTGTTGAGGAAAAAATATTTTAGCAACGATGAAAGAATTTAATAATGGTCCAAAAGTAATGGGAAAAAAATAGATGTAGATCAAAATTGGAGTAATAATCGTAGAAAATATTATGATCGATATGTGTGTTTAGTATCTGCCGTGACAAATCGTACTTTCAGTTTTATTTAGAAAAGCAAAGAAGAACATCGTCGAATTTTAAATTGATTTATAATGATGCAATAATAATTACGGAATTTAGTCAATATCATTTCGAAAAAACTATGCATCAAGATTACTTGTTTTATAGAAATCCGGGATTATATAAACCAGATGATTATAGAATTAAGTATGAGTTGATTGATGATACGTCATCAAATTCGAATTTAATTGATCAATATATATTGTTTAATAACAATAAAAATATTGATAAACTAAAAGTATAAATATGAAACTTAAACAAATTTAAACAAATTAATAGAGAAAGTAATATAAGTATATATATAGATGGATCTGTAATTAATAGCGGTAGTGAAAATATAATGGGTCTTTGGGAATAAATATTTATAACAAGAACTAGCAGTTACCGTTGCTCCGCACCGGGACCAATGAGTTTGTTTAAATAGAAAATTTTAGTATTAAAATTATTAAAATGTAATACTAAGTAAATTAAAGATGGTTACAGCAGTTTTTGTTTATAATTAGGAATTTAATATAGGTAATAATTAGTTAACAAAAATTAATAAAAAATTATAATTATAATATTAGAATGATATAAATTATATTGGGAATGGGTCTTCGATCATGCGGCAAATTTAATATTTTTGATTGGCCAGATTGGCCACATGATCGCGTCATATTTATTTTGTTTATCGAATCTCATTTTCAAGGTTCGTTTTCTCAGCTATTTCGGTCTCGAGGTATTTTTCTTTTTTTCTATTTATTTTTATTTCTAACTTACATCCTTACACTTTGTTTCTTACTAACTCTATTTCATTATTTTTAGGTCTTTTAGTCCTTCCGGTTCTGCAATTAAGGTTCAGTTGTTTTCACTTTACATTTCGTTTCTTATTTTTTTATTTTTTTTTATTTTGTTTCTGTTTCATATTTCGTTTTTCACTAATTTTATTTCATTTTTTTTAGATCTTTTAGTTCTTTCGGTTCTACAATTAATAAAGGTATGTTTTTTATTTTTTTATTTTGTTTCTATCTTATATTTCGTTTCTTACTAACTTCATTGTTTTTACTTTATGGTTTATTTTTTACTTGGTTTCCTATCATTACCTTTTGCTACCCAACCTCCTATCATGATCATTTTTTTATTTTTTGTCTCTCATAATTTTTCCCCTCCTATTACTTCTCATTATTCCATTCTTTTCGTCTCCCATTATTTTCTATTACATCTTTTCATTTTCCGTTATTTCTTTTTCTCTCCTGTTTACTTCCCATCATTTCTTTTTGTCTCCCATCACTCCTTTTTGTCTCCCGTCACTCCTTTTCGTCTTCCATCACTCCTTTTCATCTTCCCATCACTTCTTTTTGTCTCCCATCACTCCTTTTCGTCTTCCATCACTCCTCTTCGTTTTCTCATTATTCCTCTTCATCTTCCCATCACTCCTTTTCGTCTCCCATCACTCCTCTTCATCTTCCTATCACTCCTATTCATCTTCCATCATGCCCTATTTCTCCTTTTTGCTTCCTATCACTTCTCATTACTCTTTTTTACTCCCTTTCATTTTCTATTACTTCTCATTACTCCATTGTTATTTTGTTTTTTTATTAGCATCTTTTTTCTTGATCATTGTAATTTACTTATCTTTTCTTTTATTTGTATCACTTCATTAAAAAATAAATACAGTGATTTTTTTAAATGTGTGATTTAAATTTTAATATTTGCAAATAAAATTTCATTAGATAAGATTATTTTGGATAAATATGTTTGTAAAAAAAAAATTTTTTTAAAATATAAAAATTTTTAAGTTTAGCCGATCAAAATTAGCCAAGTTTGAAAAAATCAGCCGTCAGCCAATTAATAGTAAATTTACTCTTTATATATTGTACATCATGTGACATATTTAAAAAAAACTCAGGCGACAATCGCCCAGGCGACGTTTAGCATTATATTTACAATAATGTAGCTATTAATATTAATGATTTGACGTTTAAGTTCTTTGCCTTTTAAGACGTGTACGTGTTTCTGTGTACATAAAATAAATTTTTTTATTAATACAATAAAAGATAAATACAAATTTGGGATGCGAGCTACGCTCTTTCTATACGACTCTACAGTGTCTGATTTTACTGTGATTATTCGACACCCTTTTTATTTACTTTTCTTTATCTACTTTAACAGCTGAATCCGCCTTTTGTGACTCCTCTAACAGCCAGATAATATGACCAAGGACCTTCTACGCCATGTCTTTCATACTCGCATCATCATACGATTCAATCTCTGGAAACTACTCTTACGGAATTTAGCTAAAATCGAAAAATTTTATATAATCTGTGTAGGTGAGAGTGATTTAGATTGGCGAAATTTCGTAGATATAATTCATTTCGTTTTAGTAGAAAAGGAGATGGAATCTAGCTAGCAATAGTTACAAGAACAAAACAAATAGTATACAATAAGCCTGAGAATAATTGCACTAAATGGCCTAGGATCCACGTACTCCCTCCCTCTTTGATAGCATCATACAAATTTCTCTTGCTACTCTACCATTCTTCACTTTGTAGCTTTTGCTAAATGTTCCATTAGTTTTTATTTTTTCCGCTAAATAATTTTGATTGCAAAAGTGAGACAATAAAATTAAATAAAATAAAAATTTAAAAAGGTGAAAAAAAAAAGCCTAAGAAGGGGTTCCGAAAAGTAGTCAGTACCCTCAGAAAAAATTCTTTTACATATGATATTAAAAAATTTTTTGCATGTTAAGAAAAGACTGTAGTAGTTATGTAGATTTGTATTTAATATTAGACTAACAATTTAATTTTAAGAAGACATTGTATAATTCTGAACATACAGTAATTTATATTTACAATATTTACAATACAATAATGTGAAGTGTATTTACAATATGATGAAATTAGAATGATTTAATATTACAATAACTTTATAGTACAAATATTATAATATTAAACAAATGTTTGCAGTATTATAGAATTTATGGTTTATCAGACTCATCACAAAATCAATTCTGAATAATTAATTGTTACAAAAAAAAATAATAAATTTCTCATCACCAAGAAGACATCAACTATTACCAATTAATATTAGTAAACGTCAGTTACCGAACATAAAGAAAGGGCAAAGTCCGATCTATTGTTGGAAAAAAAATTAAAAAATAAAAAAAAAATTCTAATGAAAAAAAATCCGACCTGTTAAAAAAAATTTCTAAATTGAAAAATCCTAAAAAAAAAAAATAAAAAAAAAATTACTAAATGAAAACAAATTCCGATCCATTGTACAAAAAAAAGTGTAAAAAAAAATAATAAAAAAAGTAAAAAGAGCGATAGTTTTAAAAAATATTAATAAGTTTTACCAAGAACTTAAAAATAATTGGATTTGCTGATCAACTATATGAATACGGAATACATGATTACGTAAATGATCATCATTTTTTTTGAAAAGAATCACGTTTTTTTAAATATATATTAACCTGCCATCTGTAGAGAGGCTAACTGCGGATCCAATACTTGAAGCTTGAAGCTTGAAGCTTATGCTTAAGCCTACACTTAAGTATATGCTAAGCTTCAAGCTTCAAGCTTAATATAATAATGCTGGAAAAGTTTAAGTTATATTTAACTATATATTGAATTTCATGGTTAGTACGATCAACGAATTTATTAAAATAATACTACGATTAAAGCTAGACACATTACACAGGCTTTTGGCATTCTTATGATTCTTATCTCCAAGCTAATTATGTATCACGTGATTAATGTGACAATTTTAACAGATCAGCCACTTTTTTTTTTAAACCTTTTTCCTTTCTCACAATCTCACCCTTCTTTTCTCTTCCTCTTTGTTTCACCTTCTTCAGTTTAATAAAATCTTTAGCAGCAACATTTTGATATTTTCTTTATTAGACAAAATCATTGCATTATGCAATGAAAATTAAGAGTTCATAATGATGAAATTTTTTTTCTTAAAAAAAAAATAAGTATATTATAACTTAAATGACAAAATGACTTCGGTAAAAAAATGGATTGAGAAAAAGCTAGAGAATGAGTATATTCGTTATTTTAAATATGATGAATTTAAATTGATGAAGAAGAAATAAGTAGAAAAAGGGATATCAGGATTCTGGTAAGATTTTTTTCATTTTTTTTCATCTTTATTTTTTTAATGAACGGTTCTAATGGTTCATTTTTTTCTTTCTTTAGATGGTTCAGTTCTTTCAAGTTACTTTGGAAGACATTTGGTAAAATTTTTTATTTATTTCTTACATTTTTTAACAAACGGTTCCTAACAGTCCATTTCTTTATCTTTTTAGGCGGTTCTTTTGTATTTCTTGCGGTAAGTTAAATTTTTTTCATTTTTATTTAACGAAACGTTTAACTAACGTTTCATCATCTTTTTTCTTTTTTTAAACAGTCATGTCTTTTTCTAGGTTCTACATTTCAATACTTCTCAGATGTCCAGACTTTTTGACATGTGAGGCTTCAGTGCGAAAATTTGACTTTTATTCTGGATACAGAAGAGCGGATACAAGAACTTAAAATGCTCCCTCATCGCGAAAAATTATTTACTTATAGGTTCTGTAAAGTTTCGAATAGCGGAATAGGGTATTGGAATCTTGAAATAGTAAGTTATGTTTGGAAACATCCTTACTTTTTACTTTTTTTTTGTAGTTATAGAAGGGCTTTGATAGATTTGAGACGGTAAGTTTCTTTGCAAAACTTACTTTTTATTGTTTTCTTTAATTAGAAACATTTTTAATGTTTATTTTATTTTTTTTTTAGATCTCAGCTTCTTCAAACCTTCTTGTTATTGGACAGATTGCTTTTTGAAGTCCTTAAACGTGTAGAATTTTTGTAGGAGGCTCCCTTTCTTCGGATTATTTCGTTTAAGGAAAAGTTTCATTTTTTTGGACTTTTTCAAATTACCTTTAGCGAAACATGTTTATTAAATAATTTTACTTTTATGCATAATAATGTATAATTTAATAGTTAGCTAGCGTAGTAACTAGTAATGTACTAATATATAACATAGTTTGCTTTATTAAATATATATGCAAATAAAGTGTGTTTACAATGTTGTAAAAAATAAATTACAATAGTAAAATAGGTATAGTAATGGTGATACATTTTCCCACCTTTGCAACGCGTTCGTATGACGTTCAATAATGACGCACAAACGACGGTAATCACGTGATTTTGGCGCAGTGTCAACGTTGTTTAAAAATAATATGAAGTTTCTGCAATGTTTATAAATATTATCTCATTGGTACTTGGTATCCGAAAAGCCAATTACAACGCGTCAACACCAAAAATTATTAAATTTAGAAAGATAATTTTGTGATCGTATAGTATAATCACTAAATTCTCTAGGCACCATACTGTAATATACAAATGCTATTATTCATTTAAGTACTGTGTTCTTACTTATTTACCCAAAAAAAGATATATGCATTTTTTGAATAGTGCTTTATCCGAATGTATTATATACCGTATTTTTTTTGGTATCCGATCAGTCACTTGCACGACTAACTTAAGATCGACAACAAAATTTAAACAATCCAAAATCTCGACAATCCAAAATCCTGACAAGTCATTTATATCGACAATTTTGTAAATTTAATGATGAGTGTTCCAATAAAATAATTTGTTGCAATATGTAATATTTAGTTGATTTTGTTCTAAAATTGTCAGAATCATCAACTTGTCAGTATAATGATTTGTTGGGATTTTGACTTGTCAGGATTTTGACTTGTTATCTTGGATTGTCGAGATTTGTTGTCAGTCTTGTGTTAGTTGTTCAGATGATTTTCGAAATTTCGTTTAAACATATTTGGTTTATTCTGCTGATAGATAGATTTTAAATTATAAATATGAAACATTGACAAAAGAAAGCTTTGAAATTGAATAGATACTACCATTCTACTTCTTATTCCTAAATTATAGTCCTAATTTTTAGTTAGAAATAATTTTTTAAAAAGTAATTTCATGTGCTTTGTTATTAGTATTGTTATCATAGAGTAAAAAACAGACAATAACTTTTTCCTATTTGGTAATCTGTTGTACTCTTTAAAATACTGTATTACAATTTTTTTTTATATTTTTTAATAATATACTATAAAGTGACCCATAAACTCCCAGGTAAATGATCATCAAAACGCACAATTGTATTTTATTTGTCCGGAAGAATGGCTGGAAGGAAGTAAGAGGGAGAAAAATATGCGATATAGTGTTACAGAAGAGCAAGTCGAATACAATCAATAACTTAAATTCTTTATCTGTGGACGTATCTAAAAATTCAGTTCAGAGAAAGATCAATCAGGTGATTGTTCAAATCACGTTCCCACCTTGTTTATAGTTGTGTTACCAGGGGCGCTATGTCACAACGCGCTTAACAATCCGCAGCAATCCAATTATAATAAGAGGAATTAATTTTTAGACAATTTGACAATTTTACATTAGATAATGGATTTGTATTGTACTGTATTTTATAATTAAATTTACAATATTTTACAATTAAAATTTAAAATATGTGTTAATAATATATAATAATATTGGGTTTGGTACGAAATCCTGAAACTCGAAATCCTGAAGGTACATTATCCCGACACTCTAAATCCCGAAATGTCAAAATCCAGAATTGCCATAATCCTGACATTTCATAAGTCCGACACATCATAATCCCGAAATTCAAATACTGACCGAAATGAAAATCTTGAAATTTATTAATAAAAGAAAGAAAATCAATATGATTATGGGTCAGGATTATAAATACGGGATTATGACAATTTGGGATTTTGACGTTTCAGGATTTAGACAAGTCAGGATTTTGACATTTCGGGATTTAGTGTGTTGGGATAATGCACCTTCAGGATTTTGAGTTTCAGGATTTTGGACAGATCCCATATTCATATTATATATTAATAATAATCTATATCTATAAAAAAAAGCATTGTGCGACCGTGACGTTAAGACTACCCTGCATAAAAAGGCGGATTTAAATTGGATCGTCCATCATCATGTGTCTGCGCCCTGTGCTACAGATTTTTATATAGGGATTCGGAGTGGCGCATCATTTGACATTGATTAGCAGCTCTAATCCTTGAATTAGGCTGCATAAATGATTGGCGTAAAAACAAATTATAGCAATTAGTACTAATTGTAATATAAAATATAAAAAATTTATTGAGCAATCATCATTGTTTTTTTTTAAAAAAAAAAGTTTTTTGGATTTTCCCATACGACACATTTTCTTTCTTTTTTTTTTTTAAAAAAAAATATTTTTCAGTTTCTGAATTTTCCCATATGATGAAAAAAAATCCCTTTCTTTTAAAAAAAATACACCTTTTCTTTTACATTTAATTTTTAATTTCTAATGCCTGCACAGCTCTCAAAGTAGGATTTTACCAGGGGAATTGAACATTTCTAATAACAGCAATTACAGGTATTTAATAACTATGCAAAAAACCAAAAAAAAACCCAAAAAATAAAGCTTTCTTTTTTTAGGTATCAGTGGTTTTCTTGGTTTGTCTTCAGACGCGTGGAAATTTGGTAAGGAAGGATTTAATACATTTCTTTTAATCAAACATTTCTAACAGTTTGATTTTTCATTTTTTTAGATAACTGAATAAGGAATAATTTATACACGAACAGAATTGTGGTGAATATTTTTTCTTTGAAAAATTTTTTATCAAAACATTACTAACATCATGTTTCTTCCTTTTTTATATGGTTTGTTCGTGATTCTGGACATGTGAAATTTTAGTAGGTTCTTTTAAAATGCTTCTTTTAACATAATGTTAGTTAACAAAATGTTTACTAATGTTTATTTTTGCATTCTGTAGGGTGGTTCTTTGGCTTTTTCCAGACATGGAATTTGTAAGTGTTTTTCATTAATTTTTTTTATTTTTTAATGAAATGAAACATTAAAACTAACATTTTGTGTTCTATATTTTGTAGTTTAGACAGTACTGCAACACCTTGGACAGATGTAAATTTTGGTAAATAATATTTTCCTAACATTATTTCTTTAACAAAACATTATTGATGTTTCATTCTTTTCTTTTTTTTAGTAGATGATCAATTTTTGAGAACTTTGGGTAAGTTCTGAAAATGAATTTTAAACTTTAAAAAATGTCCCTAATTTAACTTTTTTTTTGTAGGAAACAACCCTTTTCTCTTTTTTAGGTTTTGGAGGTACCTTTCAGAGTGAAGGTTAGTTTGAATTATATTTTTAATTTTTTTAAAAAAATTCTTTTTCATAATTACTAATCATTTTTTCTTTTCTTTTTTTAAATTTTGGTACCTTTTTTTAGGTCTAATGATTCTTTGAATGTTTTTTAGGTTTGCCGGCTTCCTAATGAACCACTATAACTATTATAATAACTATTATAATAAAAAATGTATTGCATATTATTTATACTGACACTCATTATCTGTTATACTTTGTAATGATTAATATTCCTATTAATATGTAATAATTTTTAAAATATTTCGCAAGGATTGTGAGCGCTGTAAAATCACTTGCCATACACAGCCTATTATTCCCTATTTACCACAAAATTCTAAATTAATGCTAATAACCATTCTAGACTTTATATAACAGCTTAGCAGAAAGGTATCTGATTTTCATAATTTTAATTAGCCAGGCCCGCGTGAAACGCGGGCATCCAGCTGGTATATAATAATATATATGTTAATGAACAATTAAAGTTAACTATCATACGATGATTAATAATTTACAATGATTAAAAAATTATGTAATTTATTAAAATTTAAATAATTAATAATGAGCATCTTATTATGGTTTGTATACAACTTATCACCTCTTTATATCAGATATGAAATGAAATGATAGAATCTATAATTCCATATTTTTTTATGTTTTTTTTAAAAAAAAATAATCATATTTTCCAAAATTAAAAAAACAATTAAGGTTTCATATTACCTCCATGTAGCTAGCATAAAGTAGTGAGGTAGAAATTAGACAGTCAAAATGAAAAAAATGCCACTAGCAGTCCTATAGTCACGTGATAGTCACATGCAAACAACATTAAAGTTGCTAAATCAAAGGTTTCAGCAAAGCCGGTAGTAGGTTTCTTACATGCTTCATAGGTAGGGACTCTTAAACTGTGAATGTTTAGGTTGAAGGACAAGAAAATGTTGGGTATATGTTGTTGTAAAGGTCAGGAATTTTATTGAATTTTATGTCTTAAACATAATAAACAATAAGTAATGACTCTAATAAAATAATTGTCTATGGTTTACAACCTTTATTTCTATTATTTTCAATTTTTATTTTCAATTTGTTTCATTAAAAACTTATTACATATTATATACTCTAATAAATATTTTTTTTTAATATCTCATTTTATTACATAAAATTCCTAATAAATTAAAATAAATTTACTAATTTGTATACGTTTGCCTAACAATCTGCATGTTCTTACAATTGAATAATGCACCACCTAACATAAATTGTTCATCCACAACTTGTTTTTATTAATAGTTTCATATTAAATTTTCGCAACAATTCCTCTGCCATCATACCTTTCTAGTATAACGTGCGTGGCCGTTGAAAATTTCACACATCCAAAGGCCTGACCTGTCTAAAAACAAAGAAAGAAAATGAAATGATAGTTAACATCTTACCAAAATAAAAAAATTTAATTCAAAAGAATTTAAAAAAGTAAAAGAAACCAACCGTTGGAAATTTCACACGTCCAAAGGCCTGACCATCTAAAAAAAAGAAAAAGACAAGAAAATATTTTAGTTAACCACCAGTTAACGTTTTGTTAAATAAAAAAAAAGAAAGAAAAAAAAATTTAACTTACCACAAGAAATACAAAAGAACCGCCTAAAAAGAGAAAGAAATGAACTGTTAGGAACCGTTTGTTAAAAGATGGAAGAAATAAATAAAAAACTTTACCAAAATGTCTCCCAAAGTAACTTGAAAGAACCATCTAAAGAAAGAAAAAAAATGAACCATTAGAATCGTTTATTAAAAAATAAAGATGAAAAAAAAGAAAAAAAATCTTTCCGGACCCCTTCCTCTACCAATTTCTTCTTCATCGATTTTAAATTCATCATATTTAAAATAATGAATATACTCATTCTCTAGATTTTTCTCAATCCATTTTATTACCGAAGTTATTTTGTCATTTAAGTTATAATATACTTATTTCTTTTTTAAAAAAAAAATCGTTATGAACTCTTAATTTTCATTGCATAATGTAATGATTTTTGTCTAATAAGGAAAATTTCAAAATGTTGCTAAACGTTCTGCTAAAGATTTTTATTAGAGAGAGTGAAACAAGATGAAGAGAAAAAGACGGGGAAGGGAAATTGAGAAAGGAAAAAGGTTTGTTAAAGTTTAAAAAAAAACGGGGCTGGTTTGCACGTTAATCACGTGATACATAATTCATATAAATAAGGGGCTTTTCCTTGAAATTTGATTTTTTTTTCCTGCTTGACATACTGTAAAATAAATTTGATTTTTGATATGTATATCCATTAGTGCCTATAGGGAGAATATAAAATAATAAAAAAAACAAATGGCATTCAGAAATATTTTAAGAAATTATTATTAAGTTTTTTTGTCTTACATTAGCTGATACTTAAGTATAAATATCTGCGCAATAAAACAATTGATTATTCAGTATAATATAGCATCATCATCGTTACTATGCAATTATAAGCATTGTAGTCGTATATTCAACATCAATATTATGAAAATGAAAAAATAATACTTAGAAAATTTTAATATAAAAAAAAGCCATATTTATGATATTGTCAATGTATCAAACAACGCAATCACAGTATTGAAGATGTATTGCAATTTCGTATTAACGGTATCAGAACATTTCGCCGAAAGCCATTTCGCCGAAAAATAATCTCTGGCCTGAGTTATTTATAATTCTGCATAATGTTGGCCCTATTTTTCGGCGAAATGGCTTTCGGCGAAATGTACCGTAACCCGTATTAACGTACAATGCATTGTTACGTTACTAAAATAACAACGTGATACTATAGTGGAGGCGATGTCATAAAATCACAAGTTTCAGCAATGTTAATTAATTAATAATAATTTTATTTTTATTTTATTTTAAATTTTTTTTTTAGAGAATTACTAAACTTAACCTGGGGGAATTTTCCTCCTTTATTTCAATTTTTAATTAAAATATTGACTTGTATAGTAATCTAAGAATAAGATTACATGTAAATTTATGAGAAGAAAAGGTTTTATTAAGTTAAAAAAGGTAGTTGTTCAGATGGTTTTTGAGAAAAGTACATAATTTTGATTTTTATAGTTAAATTGTATTTTTCATGATAAAAAAGTTTATTTTTTTTAAATTTTTAGGGGGGGAGGAATTATCCTCCCGGTTAAGATTAGCAATACTCTTTTTTTATATCTTTTTTTGCGTTTAAAAATATTTTAAATGTGAAATATTTTATAAATATTATCTCGTTGGTACTCGGTATCCGAAAAGCTAAGCAATTTCACCAAAAATTATTAAATTTAGATAGAAAGATAATTTTGTGATCGTATAGTATAATCACTAAATTCTCTAGCTAGGCGCTATACTATACTATACAGATGTTATTATTCATTTAAGTATTGTGTTCTTACTTATTTTACCTAAAAAAGATATATGCATTTTTTGAACTAGTGCTTTATCCGAATGTATTATATATACACTGTATTTTTTTTTGGTATCCGATCTGTCGGTCTTGCGTCAGTCGTTCAGATGATTTTTCGAGATTCCGTCCAAAAACCAATTAAACATATTTGGTTTATTCTGCTGATAGATAAATTTAAAATGAAAAGAAATGAAATTTCTTTATAAATATGAAACACGAAAGCAAGATTTGAAATTGAATAGATACCATTCTACTACTACTTTGCTCCTAAATTATAGTCCTAATTTTTTTCTTGTTATAATTAAAAATAATTTTTTTAAAAAATAATTTCATGTGCTTTGTTATTAGTATTGTTATTATTGTTATTATGATCATCATTTTACGTTAGCTGATTTTTAAAAAGGTAAAAATTTTACTGATCACTGTTGATGGCTCAAATTAATACACAATAAATGTGCCACAGGAAAGACTCGCAATTTTACTATGAAGTTTAAATTTATAATGTTCATATTTAATTAATATTTTATTTGACATAAAATAAAATTAATTTTAATATTAATAATTTTCACGTTTTCATATGAATATTAATATTGATAAAATGACATAATGACAAAGCAACCTCCGGACGATCATTATTTTGAAAAAATTACCCAAAAATCGGGATTAAATTCCAGAATTATGCAGATTAACTATTTAATTTCTAAATTTATTTATTTTTTTTTTTACATAAATATTGTATAAAAAAAGAAATTGGTTACCTTTTTAAGAGTTTTGCTAATTTGCCCTGGTTAAATAACCAACCCACATTTATCTTCCCCGCATCAAAAATCTCGGGCATGTGATTTTGCTAAACTCTTCATTCCTGGCCGAAACTTTTGGAATCTATCTAGACGAAACTTATTCTCGCCTGGTATGAGTTTTTTAACCCTTTCTAACGTTTGAACGAAATTCGGAACTTCTTTATTATAATCATCAGTGTTTGAGAATAAGGGCATGTGGAATGCCGAATGTTACATTGAAAATCTCGACATTTAGAAAAGGCGATGGGACAATATTTGCCATTATAACTCTGTTTATGTCTAAACAAAAGATTCTCGTGTAAGTTTCCAAGAGAAACATGATCAAATAACCCGTTTACCTTAGCACTATTATTCCCCCTCGGGATACTCTCGGGATCATATGGTGATGCCTCTTATGTTAGTATGCATTCGAATAAACCTTACGATTTATTTTGAATGACATAATTTCATTTTAAAATTAATTTTAGAATGAAACTTATGGCATTATTATCCCCCTATTTTTTATTTCCTTTTTTATTTTTTTTATTTTACTTTTATTATAGACAATTTATTTCCTTTTTAATACAAGCCCCTGAAATTTGTATTCCTCACGTGATCTCAAATTTCTACACTCCCCATATCCTTTTTTAAATTCTGACGGCTGAAATTTCATCATTACTTTTTTATTATGTTATAAACAACAGTCGCTAAGAAACAAAGACCAGAGATGTCTAAAAAATTTTTTTTTTTTAAACAAAAACGAAATTAGTTGATATCCAACGCAGTAATAATACGTAATTATTTATTTTAGTATGATTTTCTGATGTATAAGCATGATGATAATCGTCTAAAATTCTAGATTTGCAAATTAATAAAATTAATACGAAGAAAAAGAAAAAGATGAAACAAAGTAAATCTTTTGGTTGTTGTTTTTTTCTTATAAAAGAAGCAACTGAATCCCGAATTCAAAAAAAAAAAAAATAATAATAATAACAAACATTTATTTTAATAACAATCTAATTACAAGAAAATTTAAGTAATCATGAATCGAATTTTTATTTTGGCATTCGTTTTATTTGCTACGCTTTTTGCGGTCAATGCAGCACCACTTGAACTTGTAAAAAGAGAAACTAAATTTCCACCATGTCCCAATGCGCCACCAGATGTAGTAGGACTCGATGTAAAAATGACACCTGATCCTTTCGTTCCTGGAAAAGAAGAAACGTTTGACATTAAAGGAACATTGAAAAAAGATATTGTCGCTGGAGATTTGCTTGGTCTTGGATTCATCGATCTTGTCGCGGAAGCACCCATAGGAGATCCCCTTGTTGTGGATATTTGTACATTACCTGGAGTTACTTGTCCGATTAAAGCCGGAACTGCATTTTCTACAACGCAGCAATTAACTGCACCAGCCGCTTCAGATTTACCTAAATCATACGCTATTATAATTGCAATGGAACATGGAACACCACCTGATGTTGAAGCATTAGCCTGTTCAGCTGCTATTTTTGGTGCTGATAGTGATTCTTCTGCTGTACCTGACTTTTGGAGTTTTTTATAAGTGTTTGATGTACCTATTTTACACGAATCTTTAATTAATAATAAGTAAATTAATTAGTTAATTAATTAATAATAATTTTAATTTTATTTTATTTTAAATTTTTTTTTATATTTATTAAATAAATAAATAAATTCTTTTTTTGCGTTTAAAAATATTTTAAATGTGAAATATTTTATAAATATTATCTCGTTGGTACTTGGTATCCGAAAAGCCAATTACAACGCAAAAATTATTAAATTAAGGTGATCGTATAGTATAATCACTAAATTCTCTAGGCGTACTATACAGATGCTATTATTCTTTTTAAGTACTGTGTTCTAACTTATTTTACCAAAAAAAGATGTATGCAGTTTTTGAGCTAGTACTTTATCCGAATGTATTATATACCGTATTTTTTTTTTTTTATTTAGATGATCAGCGAATAACCTGATACTAATTCGAAAACTGCTTAGAAGCTCCAATTGATCCAAACCGAGCATTTAGATCGTTTTTAAAGAAATTTTAATACATTTAAAGGTTTATTCTTATGCATGAAAATCTGTTTCACGAAGATTTTGCTGCACTCGATATTTTTTTATAAAACAGATACCTCCTAGAAAATCTTCTCAACTATGGAGTATACGGCGCAGTTGTGGCAACTGATCTACTAAATATTTATTATTTTCCGATGTCGGACAATAATGGACATTATACCGACATGTTAGTTTTCCCGACATGACATTATCCCGATATGATTTACAAAAAGTAATTTATTAATAAATGTATCATGTTTATAAATATAAATATAATTCTCTTACATACTATCACAACCAAAAATTTCAAAAAAGATTAAATTTGTAAGAAAACAATTTGAAAAAAAAACAACAAATCTTGACACAGAGATCCTTTTCACGTCAAGATATGTTGACCCTTTAAAAAAGCCATTTTTTTATATATTCCATTTTATTTCCGTAAAAGGCTCATATTTCTAGAATTAATAACCTTGTTATATCACGAAATTTATCGAATTATTTACATTTTCCGTGAATGGATCCGGGAAAGGCTCATTTTTATGGAGTTTTTTTTAGAAATAATAGATAAAATTTTTTTTTATAGAGGCAACTTTTCAAATATTGAGAAATTATCATTCCAATTTTATAGAAGAATTCGTGAGATACTTAAATAAGAAGAAATCACTATCAAATGTTGCTAAATCACTTTATAGATGATGAAATAAGAGATAATTCTAATTTAATCATGAATTATTATTTAATTATATTAGATATTGTAAAATTTGGAATTATGCGATATAAAAAAATGTTAAATCATGAAAAAACTGTTATAAATGAAATAATTAATAACTTTATTCAAAAATACAAGAATTAAACAAATATTATTCATATTCTTAGTATAAATTACGTGCAATGGATGACTTTGATAATTTCATTGCTATAAAGTTAAATTTTTCCACAATGATTAATTGAATTCATATGAAATCCGTTAATAAAAGATTTCCATCCCTGTAAAAAATCTGATCCGTGTTTTATCTTTCCATGTTTTTTCCGTGAATGTATCATTTTCATGGAATTTATATCCTTAAATCATGGAAATTTTCATCTCGCTAACACGGATATCCGTGAATGTATCATTTTCACGGAATTTTTACGGAAGACACGGAGAAATAATGGAAATATTCGGATAAAAATTTTTTATAGGGCATAAAGGGAAACCAGTATCTTTATTAGAAAATAATTAAATTTTTGTCTTACGAAAATTAAAACTTCATGAGGTTTTGATTACAAAAATGGTAATAATAACAATCTTTTAATTTTAGGAATTTGTTTGATAAAATAATTTACTATTATGTGATTATGGGGAAGAAATTTGATTGGCTTTAGATAGATAATTAATTGCTAACAGATCATCTGTGATTAAAGAAATTTATTTTGACCCCCGTTTTATTTATACTTTTTTTTTTATCTCTACTTCGAAATTTTACGGATTTTCAGATTTTTGGAGTTTTTCACTTATCCATTTTTTTAAAATCCAAATGAACCGTATAGTATGCAATTTAATAAATGCAACTAAAATAAATTTTTTAGGGACGCAACGAGTTGCTGCTAGTTATTTATTAAAAATTTGCACTATAAAAATGAAATATAGAGCATACATGAAATTGCGAATTTTTAATAAAATAAATATATGAATAAACAAATAAAAAAATTTTCTCCATATGTTTTATTTCAAATAGTTGAGTAATCGCTCTTTTTTTTCGCGTCTACATTACCAAGAATACAAAATTATTTTTTAAAATGAAAAAGTTGACTTGATTTCTTTATAATGGAATTCTATTTTGAATGCCAAAAAAGTATTTTCTTCTACTTCAGTCGGTAATATAAAGCATAAATTAGTTGGGGATATTGAAAATTTTTTTAAAAAAGTGAATTATACCATTAACATGGAAGGATCATACTAATAACACTTTTTAATACAGTAATTTACTATTGTAAATTATTTTATTTAGTTTTAAATACAAATTGCAATAATTCAATATTATATTTAATTTTAATTTAAATTTAAATTGCTTTACTTATAAATTAAAAATCTATATAGAATGTACCTGAAATACAGAATTATATATTACACTCCGGGAAGCTTATTGTAGAAAAGTTCGAACAGTTTCCAGCGTATTCATAAAAAAAAGTTAGACACGTGGTTCATTTGACTGTGGCCAAGTGTTAACTCTCACTTCTATGTTAATGATATAGTTCACTTTTCTTAAAATTTTTTGACATCAACTAATTTATTAATAGGACTAAATGATTTTTTTATTTGGTGATTTCCAAGATGTTAGGTTGTCAGCAAGTTTTGACACCATAATAATAAGTAAATTCAAATAATCATTGTAATAAGCATCTTTTAAAATAGAGTCCTCTTGTAAACATTAAATATGTAGATCAGTTGCCATAACTGCGCCGTATTAACAAAATCACATGCTCAAAATTAGTATCACCACTTTTTCGTGTCTATTGTTGTTACACCACTAAAATATATATATATATATATATATATGTACATGTCATACAGTTCAATACTGTCGACCCACCCCTAGTACCCGCCAAGTAAAGACGCGCCCATATAGTATTTTTTCTTTTTTGTAAAAATTGTGGGATAGTGATTTTAAACTATCTTCAATAAGTTAGTTAACTAAGAACAATTGTAATTTATTACTATTATTGTATTTTTTTTTTTTTTAAAAAAAAATATCTTAGATTTTTTTCGTCATAAAATTAAGCTAAAATGACCATCAATTATGCCAAAAATAATCATAGAACTTTTCTCAATTAATTTACATAATCTTTATTAACTAAATTAGGTAATTAAATAATAGTATATTATTCTTACAATTCCAGTTTAACTAAACAAAAAAGATAGTATGAGTTCTCTTAAAAAATTTGTAATCCAATGCTTATAGAAGAATGATCGGCATAATCATGTATTTTATACGATCAAATATAAATCCTTTTACTAAACCATTAGATCAAATTTAAATTTTTTCACTAATAAAGAGAATGAGTAAAAATAAAAATATTGATTAAAAAATTTATGATAGTTGATTTGAAAAATTAAAAAGTACAATGTGATAGATTTTTTTTTATCAAATATGAGAATTTTATCTGCAAAATTAATGATAAATCTTATCTAAGATACTGTATTATTTATTTAAATAAAACAAAAGTCAATTATTATAATTGTATAAGATCTTTTTTTTTTTCGTTAAAGACATACTAAAATGATCAATATACAGTTATGAAAGATTTTTTCAATAATTTTAATTAAACAATTAAAAAAGAACACAATAAAATAGATTATTTTTTTATTAAATATGAGAATTCTTTTCTTGAAATTAATAATATAAAACTATATAAGATTTTCTTTATTAAATTAATAAAAGGTATAATTATAATTAATTTGAGATCTTTTTTATTCGTCAGAAGTCATATGATCAACATACAGTTACGAAAGATTTTTTCAATAATTTAATTAAACAATTAAAAAAAAACACAATAAACTAGATTATTTCTTTATTAAATAGTATGAGAATTTTTTTCTTAAAATTAATAATAAATAATTATCTAAGATTTTTTTTATTAAATAAATATAATTACAATTGTTCAGATCTTTTTTCCATACTAAAATGATCAACATGATACAGTTACAAGGGTCTTTTTTTTTTGAAGTAATCTAAATAATTAAAAAAAATACAATAGAACAGATTTTATTTTTTTTTAATATAAATATATATATATAATTATCTAGGTTTTTTTATTAAAAAACCAAAGGCATAATTGTTTGAGAACCAAGATTTTTTTTTCATCATAAATTTAAAATTGATCAAGTTCAATTTTACTTCGCATAAGTTAAACTAACTGAATTAAGTAAAGTAATAATTTTTTAGTACTTAGATTTATTATGATCTACTAAACTAAAAAAAGAAATTAACTTCCTTTTAAAAAAAAATTAGTAGTAATCCGGAAATAGCCGTTTGATTTAACATAATATATTACTTTTTGATTATTTACGTAAATAAAATTTTTTTTTCATAAATTTAACTACCTAAATTAAGTAAAATTAAAATTATTTTTTATAACATTATTATAATTCCAATTTATCTAACCAAAAAATGAATTATCAGAATTAGTAATCCATGATTGGCATATAACTACTTTAATCATAATTTTTTTTTATTGGTAGAAAAATTTTTATTATTTAATTTTTTTTGCAAACAAATAAAAGATAGAGATTAGAAATAATTGACTATATTCCTTGCCACATTTAAATCGTAAATATTAATTTAAGACTTGTGATGAATTATAAAAATTAATTGAAATTAAACCTTGATGAAGAGATTTTTTAAATATTTTTAATAATAGATTATATCATCATTTGGATTTTAGTTTTATAAATACAAAATTTGACATTTCTTAAATCTTAATACAATGTATAGTTATTTATTAGAATTATTCATACAATAAATATTCAGTTACAAGTTACAACTCCTGTTTCTAATTTCGAATAATTGCCTCACAGTGAACAGTTTAGAACGCCCCGTCAGGGACTAAGACAACTTGTTTAAAACAAATATATTATTCAAAAATAAATCTAATAATACTCTTCCCTTCTTTTTTTCCTATAATAAATAAAATTTTATCATTATTTCATATTAAAAAATAGAGAAAATTTGATAAATTCAATAATAAACAAAAATCTTATTGGGTGACCGACCTTATTAACTTAATAAAAGCTGTTTCTTTTGAAAAGTTACACCTAAAAATAAAATATTTATTATTAGTTAAAGGATTCTCATTAAAATTTATTGAAGTAAAAATTCTTTTTTTTATTAAAAAATCAATTTTTTTGTGTTTATACAAAAACTACCCGAATAACTACCATTAAACCCTTAGAAAATCTTTTTTCTCTTGCAAAATTACATATATTTTTGCTATTAAAACTATATATTTGTCCAAACTTTTAAAAGGATCTCAAAAAAAGTTCATTTTTTAACGTAAACTTCTTGTATATGCGAAAATGGAAAATTAACTAGTAAAGCACATGATGTTCTATCAAATTACTTAATTTGTATGGGAGTTACATATTAAAATTGACGGTTTATCATAAAATGAAGTGACTCAAATATGGTTACACGAATTTTTTTTAATATGAAAATGATTTGCATATTACATGCGCGGTGATTGATATCTCACAAATGTATCTGCCTTTCTAAAGTAAAAATAAAAAATAAAAAAAAAAATAAATGAAGTGCCTAATAACGGTTATAGGTTATATTCCTGGTAGCTTTACGTGATCATGATGAATTGATCAATCTTGTTTCCAGCAATAAATGACGTAACATGCCAGATATGAGCAAAACAATTGGTATCATGATCTTATGGGAGATATAATACTCTAATAATCGTTAAAAAATAACAATTTTTCATTCAAATTGAGGTTTAAATAAGCAAAAATGATTATATTATGATTTTTATAGTAATTCAGATATTCTAAAGAACTAATTTATTGATTGTTGGATCTTCAATAATAACAAATAAATGAAAACATATTAGTAAATTACAAAGTAAATTAATGTAAATAAATTAGATAATTGTGAATGTGCCTTCATACTAGTAAATATCCGTATTTGAAGATGATTGTTAAATTTCTTATTCATTTTTAGAATCTAAATATGAAATAAAATTTTTTTTAAAAAAAGACTTTAAATATAACATATCCAATATACAAACGTGTATAAAGCAAAATTTATGACAACTATTTTGCGAAATCAAAGGATGTGGAAATTCTTAATTCATTAAACTTGCTTAATATGGTTAATCCTTTTATACCTTAAGACTAATTAACCTCGTTAGTAGTGCTTCATGGGACTACCACACAAGAAAAATTAACAAGTACAATTCATGATGATGCAAACATGGCTAAATTTAACCATATCAAGCGGATTTGTTTAGAGATGATTTTTTTGTAAGGTACAGTATGTTACTCGAAATTATTTGTAATACAACATTACAACTAGGAAACGAGACTATTATTAAATCCGAATTGTACACTACCGCGTGTTGAACGGCATCCAGACATTCGTACAGTATACTTTGCGTAGTAGTATTAGATAGTTTTTCATTCGCTTACTACGGACAGTTTCCCGACAGGACATTTCAGTTAGAAAAAAAAATTGTCCGATAGATGATCACCCGGTTTAATAACAAAAATCTAGAGTCTGAATCCGCTAATCCAGATATCTGATTTGAGTTTATCCGTTCAATCCGGATAAAGAATAATTTTATCTCTATATAAGAACGAGGTTTGGCTAAAAGAAATGCTTAAGAGGTCCAAAATAGATCTTGATTTCATTAACGAAGTAATTCAACGCGCTTACAAATCAAAGCTTCTCCTAAGATTTGAAGTTCTATATGAGGCATTTATTATGAAATGTATTTTAGGTTAAAAAAATATAATATGTTATCTGTGTGGTGGCGAAATTATATATAATATCAGTACAATAAGATTTTTTTATTAATTGTGTAATGGGACATAGCGGAAAATTTATCAGTCGTTGCTACAACCTTGGTAACAACTGACGAATGTTCAAAGGACGAAGAAGAAAAATTATCAAAGTTCTTGGACATATCGCAAAAAGTAAAGGCTCGAAAGCTGGAAAAATGAAATTGTTATATATTGGCATATTGCTATTGAGAATTCAAGATTCGTAATTATGTAAAAATATATTCTTAATAATTTTATTTTCGTTTGTTCACAACTAATTACATATAATGTTTTAACGAGTAATAAAACGTTATTGCTAATTCATGGCTGAATTTTTATCGACAACTGAAATTGTCATATGACTTAATTTTTACTGACTTAGGTTTAACTTATAAAAAATTTAAATCATTATTTTCCAGGTATGTAATACGAATGACCAAAAATTTCTATAATGTGTCACCTGTTAATCATTAGTTTTTTTTGCCTAGCAATAGCGAAAGAAATTAATTTTTCTCAGGTCTACGAACGTCTTAAAATAAAAATTATTTTTCATTAACCTAAATATGAAAATATTTCGAAATAATTTTAAGTACAGTAAATTAATTATTACAAAACTATTATATGCCAATTTTCATATCTTCCGTTAATAATAATTCAAACGATGTTAACGTGTTAAAATGCAACACCAAATTTACATTAGATTTCTTTTTACCTTTGTTTTAACAATGATAAATAATCATGGTTTAACTTGTAGTATATAATTACTTTATACACAATACACATAAAAAAAAATAATTAAAATATATTTTTTTAAAAGAATAATTTTATTTTACTTTGTTTATAAATTGTGAAGAACAAAATTTTTTTTAAAAAAAAAAATGATCGTGAAAATGTTATTTAAATGAAATATTATTAGTTCTTGTAGTGTCTCTAAAAAAAAAACTATATATTAAATGTTCGAAAGTGACATTATCTATCTAATTATTTACTTGAAACTAAATGAAATTGTTCAATAAATCATATCCTCCTTGATTATGGACGAGTATCCTCTTATGCTTTTTTACTTATATCCATATCGTATCTTTTATTGTCATATAGTTTAATTCCCTTCGTTTCCATATCTTTACGAAGTTTTTCATATGTTTTCGAAAAATATTGAGTATATATATATGACCTAACACCAAATGGAAGCAACCAATCACCATCCCTATAAAGAAGATCTTTTCTTAAAAATTTTTGACTAGAATCTAATTCTAATGGAATAGTTCTATCTTTAACCAATATGGCTGGAAAAATAGAACTGATATGATCAAATATATAATTCATAAGGTTCCAAGAAGGTCCAATATCAGGAGAGAAACGATTACGATAAGTCTCGATATCATCATGCATTAATAAACCGCCAACTTCTACGATATTTTCTATCATCCACAAAAGAGTTGCATTAGTTATTCTTTCATTGCCTTTAAATGATAAAAACGTTCCACCACCTATTTCACTATGTACACCCGGAAACCAAGTCTCTTTTACGGTAGTATCAGGTGCAGATTTATTCGGAAGTATACGACAAGGTTCAAAGAAAGCATTGTTTTCATGAGTAGCTAAAGCTTGACAAGCATTTTTAACTATACTAGGTACAGTTTGATCATAGAATTCCAAATATCTAAAACCATCACCAATTACATAACCGGGTAAACCATGAGCGCCAACAGTATCCCATAATCCAAGGAATTTTATAATTGGTTTTTTAGAATCAGGATAACTGAAAGATTTTTTAAATTCTTCAGAAGCTTTTGCTTTCGGGTGCTTAGCTAAATCTCTATCACGATAAAAACCATAAGCGAGATCAACACTTTTGTCAATTTGATCAGGGTTGATTTCTCGATTTAATATTCCACAATTTCTTAACATTCCAGCAATACATCTCGCAGTATAAGCGCCACGACTAAAACCAAAAAGCCATATATCATCATCAGGATGATAATGATCAACTATAAATCTGTAACCTTCTTTGATTTTATTATCAAGACTTAGAGCCATAGCTCCATCAACGATAAAATTCCAGGCCAATTCACCAATTCCAATTCCGTCTATATACAAAATATGTTGTTCATAATCTCTCTCAATTAATTCTTTATATAATGTAAAAACGTTTGTTTGGGAATTTGGATTATTCCATGTTCCATCACACATTACGACAATATTTCTACCCATTTTTACAAAATTTTCTTGTTTTTATTAAAGATTTGTGGTTTTTTTTTATATAGAAGAAATAACACTGAAAAGAAATATGAATGGTTTTTATTAAAGATTTGTGGTTTTTTTTTTTTTATATAGAAGAAATAACACTGAAAAGAAATATGAATGGTTTTTCTTGAAGGTTTGTGGTTTTTTTTTTATTTAGTAAAAATAATACTGAAAAGAAATGTGAATGAAATTTAAAACGAAGAAATTGGGGTAATATTTATAACATTTGAAAAAATAACAAAACTTATGGTTTTACGAAAATACTTATGATGATCACCCAAATGACGACAGACGGAATTCAAATTCCAGTAAAATAAATTCCCTGATTTGTTTCAAATAACGTTTTTTCATTCAAAACTATAATTAGAAAACGGCAAATTTTAATTTAATTGTCTTTTCTGAAAAAGTTTAAGTCTATTTGAGTTAAAAATAACTTTAAAGTTGAAACAACAAGATTAAAAGGATGATCACTAACAAAAATCAGATTATTGATTGAGAATGATTATCCTTTATCAGTTTAGTCAATTTTTTATCGGCTTAGTTGAATTCATTGGCAAAAAAAAAACAAATCTATCTTTTTTCTGATTGGTTACAATTGTTTATTTTTATTTATAAATTTTTTCTTAATCCGTTTTTAACCATAATTTTTTTTTTTGGCGTTATAATATAATTTCAATCGAAAAATCGGTAACTCGTGCGACATAAATAAATCAATGAAAATATGATTATCATATGACATCGTTAATAATTAAATAAATTATTTGGTTATATAAAGTATATTAAAATTAGTAATTTAACCTTTATTCAAATTATAAGTTAACTTATAACTTACGAGCTAAATATTTTTAAGAATGCAGTTAGTTTAAATTTTAAAATTATATGTAAATATAATTTACAAAATGTAATACAGTCAATTCTCCATAATGCACTCACACCTACAAATGCACCATTCTGTTTAGGGACCCCATTAACCATAATTTAACTATATTTGGAAAATGTTCATCAATTCCATACGGAATTTAGCTGCAACATTATTATAATTCGGAGTGATGGTCATTGAATTTCCAATACTGTAATTTTCACTTGGTGGTTATATTATACCACGTGATCGATGCGCCGCAGTTTAACGGGGAAAAAAACTTAATAAATGATCACACAATGAAATTCGATATAATCATAAGTAAAATCTTGATATATCGGAATTGGGTCTGGAACGGATCATAACGTATAATTAATTTACCCTCGATATAACGGAATTCTTGATATAACGTATTTTTGACAAATTTTTACTAATGGAACGGATGGTTCCATTATATCGAATTTCACTGTGTATGCCCAGCGTACCCTTCAAAAATGTCACGAAACGGCCGGCATTAAGAAATTAAGAAATTAACTATGTGACGAATAAGGGGTGACGAATAAGTTTTTACCTACTCGATAGAAAATGGAAACAAGGAAAGGTGTGACGCATGTGACAAAAAACAGTCACGTGGATTTTAATGACATTTAATCAATGCAGTTAAATGATTCTTCTTTTACAGTTAAATAGACTGTATAAATAACAAGTGAATAACTATGTACAGTCGGCCCTCGATATAACGAAGTAGGCGTCTGGGCCGATCAGGCCTTCGTTTCGTTAATACTATAACGAATTATTCGGTATAGCGGGAAAATTTGGTATAATGCAGTAAAATAGAGGAAAATCAAAACATTTGTATGTCATGCTTATGTAGGCAAAGGAAACCTCGAAACATAAATCATCCATTGATTGAATTAAAAGTGGTAAAATTATTTGAGAAAAATTCCATAAAACCAGCATCAAACTGCCCTTTATAAATAAATACCAACTTACCTACGCGTACCATTTTTCCCCAAAAAATCATTCTCATAGGTCTCATAGGTCTCACAAAAAAACTTCCTATCAAATATCACCTCTCGCGAATATAATTAATAAACCATGTCAAAAAATGCTGTGTCATCAATAAATACAATAATATTTCTTTCTAATTTAATTCAACATACCTAAATTTTCACTGCTGCTGTCTCAAATTTATACGAAGAATGTCATATCGTCATTTTAATTGAATAAGGCAGAAATAAATACACCTCCTTGAGGTAAAGTTACTCAAATTGGATATAACGGCATATTAGGTTATTATGTTATTATATCTAAATTGATCAATCTTTTTTTATTCTTCATGAAGATTTCATTTATGAAAGATTCAAAGTTATTCTAATAAACAGAAAATATTATATGTATCAAATGATATTGAAATTTTTATGATTCTTTTGTAATAAACTAATAGAAGAAGGCCGACTATATAATAATTCTTTTCAAATTGAATAAATTGAGTAATAATATTAAATTGTTAAGAATAGAATAAGTAATATATTGAGTGATCCCAGCAAGTTAGAAATAGTAGATTTTTAGTGATATCATACGTAAAATTATCATAAATATGTTTCTTATTGGTCATAATTTTATACAAATATCGAATTTAAATTAAATTCTTTATATGAAACGGAAATGAGACACAAAACAAAATAACAAAATTTAGGAAATTTTAAGTGCAATATTTAATGTTAAAATTATTCGTATTTTTCTTTTCTTAACTTTTTAATCTTTATATTTCTTTCTTGATCGTATTTTTTCCTTTTTTTCCTTTTAAATTGCGTATTTGTTGTATTCATAAAATACAAATTAACACTGGTCTTGTAGAATAATGCTTTACCTGTTTCCTAGATTTATTGGGTTAGATCAAGCTGCGGATTCAGTAATTGATCACATGATTTTTCTCACGTCCTAACTAATATTAATCGTTTTTTTTTTTCATATTTCTTTAGCATTATTACTCAAAAGACAATTGAATTATTTTCATTTTCTTTTAGGTTTAATTGAGAAACAAGAACATACCGAAACAATTTGAGAAATCGGCAAGTATAAAATATTTTTCTATTTTTTTTCCATTTTTTTAATTGATTACTAATCAATTTTTTGATTTTTTTAATATATTTGATTTTTAGATTTGGCCAAGATTTGTAAATGATATAAAACAACATAATGCGGGATGTTATTAAACGTTCTTCTTCTTATTTTAAGGGGTTGATAAATAAAAATAAAAGAATGGAAAGAAATTTAAAATACTGTATCCACAACTAAAAAATAAAATAAATATATTGAAAAAAAATATTTTTAAAAAAAAAGACATTAAACCTTTTATTTAAAGTATGAAGTGTAAAATATAAAAGAATGAAAAGTAATAAATTCGAACGTCAACTCCACTTTCAAAATCTAGATCTTTATTTTCTCTAATTCAATTAAAACAAATATTAAAGAACGAGAACGTTTAGTAATAGTATTGATATATCATTATTAAATATAGGAAGGTATGGTATGAATGTACTGGGTGTTATTACTTATTATTGGTTTTAATAAACTGAGTTCGTAATTTAAATATTATAATCTATAAAAAAATTTTTTAACGTTAAAAAGTGATCAGGTGATCATCAAATTGACGTTGATAAATCATAATCCCGATTTTTTTTTGGACGTAATAATCTATTAATATTCCTATTAATATGTAATAATTTTAAAATATTTCGCAAGAATTAATGTTGAGTAATAGCCAGATATTTTATATAATATGAATTTTAAAATATTTTCGCAAAAATTAATGTTTTTATTTTAAAAATTCTATTTTGAATTTAATAACTTTATATACATGAGGATGAATTTTCGGGATAAGACATAGTGATAAGTTTTAGGTTTTATTAACTAAATTAAGTAATATATCATTTTTTTACTATTTTATCACTTTCTTTTTTAATAAAGTAGTAGATATATTTATTTGTCTTATATGATCAGATAAATTTTTTTCAACCATACGATCAAATTTAAAAAATTGAAAAAGGTTACAAATTGATAAAAAACTATCTATTCACATATTATGTTTAAATAATTAAAAAATTTACTTAGAATTCCCCGTTATGGCTAACTTGTTTTATAATAAAGGATTACCGAAATTTGACAATTTAATTAAAATACATTATATTTTTAGTAAACCTGACAAGAAAATTTTTTATATGAAAGATTTTCTGATGATTGACACATGATCATCGTCAATTTCAACCAAATCAGATGATCAGTGCAGTGTATCACTTCGGAAAAAATACGGCTTCATTACGGAAACCGGTTTTCCTTAATATGCAGTAACTGTATTGTAACTGCATCGTAGTCATACAGTAACTACAGCATAGAATAGTAACCGCATAGTGAAAATATTGTAAATACGCAGTTACTGCATATTAAGGAAATTAAGTGTAATTTTTTATTATCGCAGCGCATTTGTAATTTATTAGTATGACCAAATAAATAAATAAATTAAAATAAATAAAAATAAAATAAAAGTTTTTTTTTTTCAGTAAATTTCTAAAATAACAAAATGGAAATCGAATTTAGCGAATCAAATATCTCAAATAAAGATACTAACACCAAAAATTGTTCATATTGCAATAAACCTTTTACTGAAGTATGGTGTAAAGAATGTATTAATTCTTTAGAAAAATTAGCAGAAAATGGTGATGAAGAAGCAATGTATAATTTGGCCGTATGTTATCAGGATGGAGAAGAAACAGAAGAGTTTTCAGAAAAAGCTTTTCATTGGTATCAAAAAGCAGCAGAAAATGGTTATGAAGAAGCAATGTTTAGTTTAGCCTTATGTTATCAGAATGGAGAAGGAACAGAAAAGAATTTAGAAAAAGCTTTTTATTGGTATCAAAAAGCAGCAGAAAATGGTGATGAGAAAGCAATGTTTTCTTTAGCCATGTACTATGAAAATGGAGAAGGAACAGAAGAGAATTTAGAAAAAGCTTTTTATTGGTATCAACAAGCAGCAGAAAATGGTGATGAAGGAGGTATGTTTAATTTAGCCGTATGTTATGAAAATGGAATGGGTACAGAAAAGAATTTAGAAAAAGCCTTTTATTGGTATCAAAAAGTACCAGAAAGTTATAAAATAAAAATAAATTCTGAAATTGGAGTTGAATTATGTGATGAATGCAAACAACCATATATTGATTACCTGTGGTGCCAACAGTGTAATACTAAACGATTTCAACAAGATATTACAAATTTGGCTAGTAAAAATGAATTTATTAATAAATTCATTGAAGAAGCACAACTGGAAGCCAGAAATAGTTATGAAATTTTAGAGTGGATACCTTATAATAAATTGGTAAATATTAATTATTATGGTAAAGGGGGATTTAGTGAAATATATAAGGCTATCTGGTTAGATGGACCTATTTATAGTTGGAATTTTGACAATCAACGATGGAATAGGCAAACAAATTATGAGGTCATTCTTAAAATTCTTAATAGTTCATCAAGTTTAGACAGTAAATTTCTGGATGAGGTATAGTATTTATATTTATATTTAATAGCAAATATTCTTTTTTGCAAAAATTTAATAATTTTTTATTATTCAAATAGTGGAAATATCATTATAATTGTCAAAAAAAATCATTTTCAAAATTTATTCAATTCTTTGGATTTACCCAGGATCCAGATAATTTAAATTATATGATAGTGATGAGTTATGCAAAAAAAGGAACTTTGAGAAAATGTTTGTCTGATATAAATAAATTTAAGTGGCAAGACAAATTAAAATTATTAAAATTAATTATATTAGGACTTAAAGTAATTCATGAATCAGGTTTAACTCATGGTGATTTTCATGATGGTAATATTTTAATGTCAGATGATTTCAATGAGGTATTTATTATTGATCTAGGATTATGTAAACCTATAAGTGATTTACAAGATTCTGTTAATGAAATTTATGGAGTTTTACCTTACATGGCGCCTGAAATATTAAGAAGAAACCCCTATACTCCAGCAAGTGATATTTATAGTTTTTCAATGATAATGTGGGAATTTACATCAGGTATTCCTCCATTTAATCATGAAGCACATGATCTTGACCTTATCTTGGATATTTGTAATCAAGAAAAACGTCCTAAAATTGTAGAAAATACACCAAAATGTTATATAGATTTAATGAAAAAATGTTGGGATTCAGAACCTTCCAATAGACCAACTATAACAATGCTTGAAACTATTATATCTGAATGGATTAGATGCATTAATGAACATTATAGAATGAACAGTGATGAAAGTGATATCTATGGTAAAGCAGTACCTTATATTGATAATCAATTAGAATATGATATGACGGAATTTTTAAAAGCAAACGAAGCTTTAGTACAAAAACAAGAAATTTCTTCTATTATACAATCTCATCCACAAGCATATTATATAAGTCGCAGATTTTCTGAACTTTTAGATAAGTATGAAAGTGTTATATATAGTACTGTAATTCCAGATAATACATTTGAATATTGATTCAAAATTAATAGTTCTATTGTTATTTATTCCTTTTATTTATTAATTATTATGTAGAAATATATATTTGTATTATGTATTTTTTTGATTTTTACAATAAATGAACATTATAACTAATGATAATGCAAGTTTAATATCCAAATCCATACTTCAAAAATTTACTAATAGTATTATTGCCTTTAGTTAGTGATTTATATTTTTGAAATTTATATTATGTTAACGGTCCATGGATTAGAACTGATTGGTCTAATAGGACTGATCAATTATAATTAATTATTTGTTGTATAATGATGGCTCTGAAATTATAATTTAATTTGTCAAAATTTTCAGCAGCAACTATTTCGGCTAGTCCAGCCTGAATTAAAGCTAATCCTAGCCAAAATTTTATAATTCCGGCTGAAATTTCATAATTCCGGCCAAATCCGAAATGTGCTGAAGAGGTTGTACGATATTAACGTACAAATTGTACACCCCCACTGTACGTGACGCCCAATAATGCTGAAACGCGTATCTATGGAACGAGTAACACCAAATGGATATGATCAACATTAACATTTTGTGTAATGTTTTTGACTTACGCATCATGTGTACGATATTAACGTACACACTGACCGGAGTTAAGTTTAACGCTATCACGTGTAAGTGCATAACTCCTAAACTCTGGTGCGATACGTTAAGGAACCTTTGTGTTTTTATTGGCTAATTGCTTTGGTATTTCAAGTTCGACTAAATATTTCAGATTTGGGGACCATCTTTATTGTAATTTATAATTTAACTTACTAGAAAGAAAGAGTTTTTTTATAGGACCGCAGTTCAGACCTCAGTCTTATGTCCTGATCCTCAGTCCAGTCCCGGACTGTAGACTGATGAAATGGACCAGGCCGGACCATTAACATTCCTAATTATCAGCAACTATGACTTAACCCCAGTCCCGTAAAAAAAGCTTGGGCACGTGACTGATGTGGCTGTGCATAAATATTTTTTTTTCATAGATTCTCTAACGTTGTCTTCTTTTTTATGTTTTTGTTTTAGGGACGCATTTTTTTCCTATTCTTCTGAACATTAATTATTTCTTTCACTTATAAAAACACTTTGAAGTGCTTTTTAGAGTAAATTTGAAACACGTTTATTTCTTTTTTTTTTAATAGTCTCTTTTTCTGGAACACTTTAGAAATTCTTTTTTCTAAAAAAAATAAAAATATAAAATTTTATTATTATAAACATTAGATGAAGTTAACAAGTTATAAGCATTTTATACATTTTATAACAGTACAAACTTGTATTCAAATTTTTTTATTTTTTTTCTTATATATATAAAAATTTGTTACATTTAATATTATTAAAAGTGTAAATTTTCTTCAATAAAACGTGAACAAAGTTATTTTTAAATACAAGACACCATCTTTACTATAATTTATTAATTTCCGTTTAAGCTTTGCGATGTTTTGTTTTTCAATTTTTTCAATAAAAACGAAGTTAAATGTTACGCAAGATAAAGCCAATCAAACCCGGACGCCACATCACAGGTCACGTGCTCGAGCTTAGTTATGAATGAGCATGTGACTTATCAAATGATCAATCCCTATAAAAAATTTTTATCCGAATATTTCCATTATTTCTCCGTGTCTTCCGTAAAAATTCCGTGAAAATGATGCATTCACGGATATCCGTGTTAGCGATATGAAAATTTCCATGATTTAAGGCTATGAATTCCATGAAAATGATACATTCACGGAAAAAACATGGAAAGATAAAACACGGATCAGATTTTTTACAGGGAATTATTGGTACAAATCCGAAGAAACTTTTTTCTTCTTTATATAGAACGAATTTAGATAATTTAATTCTTAACTCGTTATTGCATGATTTATATGGTTCATCAAAATTTAAATCTATACAATTTTTTTTTTAAAAAAAAAGAAAAAAAAAAGGGATCCGATATAAAACTGCTAACAATAAAAAAGAAAAAAAAAACTTGACAAAACAAAAACATAAATTTTGGTTATTTTTAATTGTTGAAATATTGTAACGTAATTATTGAATGCATGCATAATCCGTTTAAAAACAGTTGTCCATGAGTGATCACACTAGTCGAACTAAGTTATATGTATTAAATATTAAATTAATCAAAACACATTTTTGCAAGCGAATATGATTGCGACTAAATCAAAATCGGGACGACGCGATTTTTGGCACATTTTTTGTTTTAGGATAAGTTTTTAATATTGATTTTCTTTTATCCTTTAGTTTTATAAAATTTACTCTTACGATGTTGTCAGCCACCGTAATGTTTTATTTATTCTTTTCAAAAAAAAAAAATAATAATTTTTATGTGGTATCACTCATTATCCTACGTTCTATAAATTGAGTGTTAATCCGTAATATTACGGAACTTAATTATCAACTTTCCTTTGCAGTAAATACGCATATATTAAATTAATAATTCGATTAACAAATTATGAACTACTTCATCGTTATATTGTTTATGGATTCATACAATGCTACTATTTCTTCTTTGAAAAACTTATAAATTGAGGCTCTTTCAATAGTTATTTCTTATGGTTAATCTTGTTTTCGCTAAACCTATTTTTGTTAATCTTATTGTTATTTTTAATTTTTTTAATATTATTATTTCATTATTTTTTGTCACTTTCATTATCTTTTTGTTATTTCTTATTATTTTTTTGTTATTGTTTTAATCTTTATTTCTTATTTTTTCGGTTGTTAGCTACTATATAATTTAAATGAAAAAGGACTGTATATACATTTTTTTTTTATTTCACGAGTGATTTTTTTTTTTGAGGCTGAGAGGGCTGAGCTTTTTTTATAATTATCATCTATTTTCAGATAATAAACTTTCTTATATTAAACGTTCTTCTAATATTGATTATATTGATCATGCGATCATGCATATTTGTATTTCTAAGAAGTCCAGATAATGGCTAAGATTTGATTCTCCGCCATATTTAAGGCAAAAAATGATGATTGTGACTAACCGATATGGAAATTTACTATGGTTTGAACTTTGAGCTACTTGTTATTTAACGTATTTATTTCAAAGAAAAAAAAAATTACTATGGTTTTAATACTGTCGTCAGAGTCATACGATAGCTCGGCTACTAATTTCTCTAAATCAGAGTTAGTAAAGATGACTCATAGACTATTTCACGTGATAAGAAAATAATATAAAAAGGGGATCTCTTCCTAACAAAATAGGCCACTACCTAATCAAAAAAACTCTCCTAACAAAAAAAACCTCGTATGATCATGAACAAAAGGCTAATAATAATGTTGTTTCCGAGTTCTAAACTCTCCTAGCAAAAAAAAAAGATTACGGGACGGTTCATACGAACAACAAAAGGCTTTTATGGATAATAACGTTGGCTCCGACCTAACTGGGAGAAAATAATAGAGTAGGGTTTGCATACAAAAGTCTTTTTTGAGTGGAAAACGGATCTTAGAATGTTCGTCAAAAGATAATCAGAATAATCTTGAAGTTAAAGCCTACTGCCTAACAAATGTTACTGTCTACTGGAATTTTTAAAGAGGTGGGTTAAGAGTATTCTATCACCCACTGGCCATAATCCTTGACTGCACACCGCGAAAGCAACGGGCGAAGGTTTATGAGGGCTGACCGGACGGCTTTAAAGGGTTGCAAATAGATGACTGGGGCCCATCGTACGAGAACCCACCCCAAGGTTATATCTTTGAAAGTGGAGCCTTGATTAAGGTACCTGAATATAAGTCATCAGGTTCAAATTCACCGTCTTGAAGATATAGTAGTTGGTCTTCCAAGTGCTCTGGAGTCACTCTTGCAAAGGATCTGATAGTCATAATAGAGAATATAGACGGTGGTGAAGTATGCTTATCCCTAAGGTAGTTGGGTTATGGTGTACAACCACTTGTCAAAATGGTTACTGTTTACAATACCATTTTGGTATTCACTATTATGACCTGAAGTGAATGAGCTAGAACTAACATAAGCTTTCAATGTTAATTTATAGGAACCTGTGGAATGGCATGAGTGGAAGAAATGCAACAAAGAGAATTCCACTTCCACTGTATTTTATGGAGTTAAACAATGTACTCTATCCAATTTATTGGACACTATGGACACTATAATACTTATGTGCAGAACTGGATGTTAATGTTTCTTCTTTACTTAATAATTTGTTAAAATTAATTTTTTTTTCTTATTAGGATTTTTGAAGATCTTATTAATATAAGCATAAAATTGGAGACTAGAACTTTGTAACACTGGTAATTTGCTATTTTTCATAATCAATTCTTTTTGTTTTATGTTGTAATAAAAAAAGATCTTGAGTAAATAAACACAACGGACTTTAATGGTTAAGTATATCCTATAAGTAAAAGTATATTAAAAAGCAAAAAAAAGGAATATTTTTTTCTGTTTTTAATCTCTTTCCTCTTTTTTCTTACCAGTTTAAACAACTTCAACAAAAGAATCAAAGAATTAATAGTAATAAAAAAGTCCATCAATAATCTTTTTTAATTATTATTTGGAGACATATTAAAGTATTAAAACACGAAGAATACTTCTGATATACAATGGACTGTTTTTACTTTAAGGCGTGTCTCAATTTATGTAAGTGAATACGCGTTTAAAAATATATATATATATATATATATATATTTCTTTTGACGATAATTCACTTCTTTCTTTCTAGTTGTGCTTAGAAATTTCTTCATTAGCAATTTTTATGATAGTATTATAATATTTAGATGTCTGTTTGACGTAAGATACGCCGGCCTACATTATCGGCCTGATATTGCTCAATATTATAATGCTTGGTAGTAATTGAGCTTAGAATAATGATAGACAGACCCGATAACTTGAAAGAATGTCAGTAATAACAATTTTGTTTTTTTTCTTAAAAAAAAAAAAATAGGTTACATTTATACATATTTTAAACGTAAAACACTAAAAAACCAGTTTCTTTGTTTCTTTGGTCACATTCTTCATAAGTAAATACATTGATGCATTGGAAGTTTTTCATATGTATATCACGTGAACCCAAAAGATGAAAATTATCAGAGTAAATATTTCTGTTTAAATCTCTGCAAAGTGCAAACACAAACAAATGCTATAAAAAATAGACTAAATCATCGAAAACTTTTTAAAAATTATTACTACTCTCTTTCAAATTCTTCGTCTTCTTCAGTATTATCTTTTTTACTAATCATATCATGTGACATAATATTTGTAAATTTCCTGCGCCACGCGTTGAAATCTCGAAAATTATTTGAACGACTGACACAAGACTGACAAGTCAAAATCCCGACAAATCATTATACCGACAAGTTGATTATCCCGGCAATTTTAGAACAAATTATAAATTTACTCCATTTAAACTAAAATATTACATATTGCAACAAATTATTTTATTGTAACTAACTAACTATTCTTTTAGGGTTTGGTACGAAATCTCGAAAATTATTTGAACGATTGTTGAGATTTTGGATTGTTGAGATTTTGGATTGTCGAGATTTTGAATTGTCGAGATGAATTGTCGAGATTTTGTTGTCGATCTTGTGTTAGTATCGTGCAAGTGGCTGTCGAGATTTTGATCGGATACCGATTTAATTGATTCAGCACCCTTTTGTGTAAGAGATTTATGAATAAAATCTACTATATAACCACGTTCAAAATTTTCCTCTTACATTTCTACTTTCTTGCTTGGCAAGTACAATTTTGACCATATTTATTTATACAATCTAAAAAAGTAGTTTACATAGTTAAATTAGTTTATATGTTTTATTTTTATTTTTATTATTTTTATTTTCATTGCTAAAGTGAAAACAGCATCAGCAAAGAATACATAGAAACTTTATACAAGAATCATAAAGTAGTACATAAAATAGCTAAAGGCTCAGACCACTTCAATTAGGTGGTGTGTGTTAAACATAATATATTATATCACGTGCCCCGAGAAGTTCACAAAACAGCCGTAAAATCTAATCGGCTAATCAGCCGATTAGTCAAGTAATTTACGCTATCTTCGTATCCGAAATATAGGGAGCGGTGCTCATCCTACTCTCATAAAAAAGGGCAAAACCAATAATTCAAGGATAATATTAATAATGATATTAAAGGGACGATATTAATAAATTATTTTCTAATATTAGAGCAATTCTAAAAGCGGAATTTACCGAAAATTCTACCAATAGTAAAAAGATGTATGAATAATATTAATATTTTTTAATTACGTAATTAGTTATTTAAAATGTTTAATATGCAGGAGTTAGTATACTTCGTTAGATGTATTATTTTATTATAAACTTTAGAATAAAAAAAATGTATCAGCCGAACTTAAACTCCTTATGTGAAAAGTTCAGTTTTTTTAACCTGATTGTTGAATACCCTATTGTTTTTTGTGGTGGTGGAACTGTGGAAGTACCGAATTTCATGATGTATTCCTTTTAAACCGCAATTCTCCGGAAAAGCCAACGATAGACGATTTGCATTGCGTTAAAATAGTTTTAAAAAATAGATGATTTTTTTTTTCCACAGAAACTAATAAATCAATATGTAACCTATTACGTCTTAAAAATTAGCAAGAATATAAAATAAATATGTTTCAAGTTTCGAGATTTTAGCGAAGTAGTAATTCTTTGATCGATGGCGCAGTAATGAAATGTTCGTGAATGTTTTCCCGATATTATTCTTAATATTTACAATTGTTCTCGGCTTCTTGGCTAAGGCTAACTTTAAAGTTTAATAGGGGTAGATTGTTAATAATATGCGTACTCTCTTGGCTCAAAAAGCGTTCATGATCTTTGTGATCTACAACCGATCTACAATAATATTTTGGTTCGGAATAAAATTTACGCAGACCTAGACACCCTTGTACATATTGTTGGTAACCATATATAGACAAAAACACGATTTAATATACACAGGGCCAAGAAAATGAAAAAAATATTGGTAATATCGCGTTAAATTTGACGCGAAAGCAATGTAAACAATGTCAAAGACGATTGATCGATTTCTTTTATCCACAATCTTAAAAAAGAAAATTAATTTTTAAAAAAAGAAAAACATTAAAATATTACATACGCCAAGGCCCAAGTGACTTGATTAATAATTTTATTGGATTAATCATGAAAAATTATTTTAGTTCTTAAAAGGACTTTACCGATAAAATACTAATTTTGATTTTAGTAAGTTATAACATATATAGCATATTCAATTCTTATAACGAATTTTTATATAAATACAAAGCTTCTTTTCCTTCATTTTTTTTCAAGTCAATCTAATATCTTGATAAAAAAAAAAAGTTTTGTTTTATATATTACAACAACTTTTATATATATATTGTATCTTTTTGTAAAATATTTTTCTAGTAAAAATCTCGTCTAGTAAAAATGAAGTTCTCTTTCTCTTTAATTTTGGCTATAACTTTAGCCTTTCTCGCTACTAGTTCGTTTACTACACCAATTGATAAAACTGAAAACGATATTATTAGTAAAAGAGAGGAACATAACCATAAGAATAAACCAAAAATTCCCCCACCTCCTCATGGTAAATCTCTCAAGAAGCCAAAAAAACATGACCATGAGAAATTTAAACGTGGAGAATCCGATAGTTCAGAAGACCCTAAGGATATTGGGAAATTCGATGGTCCCAAAGATGGTCCCAAAGACGGTCCAAAAGACGGTCCAAAAGATGGACCAAAAGGTCCTGTAGATGGTCCTATGGATGGTCCAAAAGGTCCTGTAGATGGTCCTATGGATGGTCCAAAAGGTCCCAAGGATGGTCCAAAAGATGGTCCCAAAGATGGTCCTAAGGATGGTCCCAAAGATGGTACCAAAGACGGCCCAAAAGATGGTCCAAAAGGTCCTATAGACGGTCCTACAGATAGTCCAAAATTTCCTGATTTTTAATTTAATAAGAATTTTATAATATTTACTTATCATATGCTAGATGTTTTAAATGTATCCCAATTTATCATATTATATTTATATTATTTATATTTATTTATTTTTTAATTTTGTTAAAATTTTTGTAACTACTTATCATTTATCTGTATAAATTTAAATTGCAACAATGCAACAATAAATAAAATTTATAAAATTTGAAATTTGAACTTAAATTACAATAAAGTAAATTTTGATTTATACAAATGATTTAATATATAAAAGTATCCCAACGAGAAGGTAAGAATTATCATATAATTTTACTATTTTACTATATGTATATATATACTGTATACTTAGTTAAACAAATACAGTCAAACCTTTATATAACGATATGTCGGGACATATATGAAATTTTTAGAAAATATCGTTATATCAAAGTTATACCGATATTTATATGTCCTCACATATAGTGGGAAAATAAAATTTTATCGTTATATCAAGTTTTTAATAGTATATCGGTATATCGAATATCGGTATATCGAGGTTAGACTGTACACCTTACTCGGTTACTCCTAAAAGAAACTATAATACAAATAATCATAAAAAAAATAATACACGAACGCCGTAAATATCTTATTATTGTGTCGTTCGATTACTATTATTTCTTTCGACTACTAACTGAAAACTTTTACATCCTACAATCAACCTATAGCGTACCCCGATAATCCATGTGATTATTATCCATATAAGAAATAAATAAAACTTTATATATATATTCTTTTACAATTACGTTGTTAGGAGAGAAGTTCATTATGATATTCTCCAATTAGTATAATGGTTGTTCCTTCAAAATCTTTTATATCACAAATTTGTATTCTATAAAATTACTAATACTGCAATCCATTTTTTATGACAAACGTAAAACCAGTTATTTTAATTGAAATCATCAAAAAAATATCTTTCTACTTTTTGCCAAACAATGTTGAAAAATAATACCTAAATCTCCATAGATCTATAGGACATAAATCTCAACAAGCATAATGACGATTCTTTAAAATTCTGGTAGAATATGTAAATATAGTGTCTGCCTGCCCCACCGATACAACATTTCTTCTGAAAGTCAACGATATTGAGAGGGAGAATAAAAATATCAACCTGTTATACTTAAGAAGTAAAACGACGTTAATTGTCGCTTTAAATTTTACTTTAACCTCTAGTTGATGTTTGACCCTGTTGTTACATCAATCACATCATCACAATTTTACGCCTTGTAATACACAGTATTTAATTACCTCTCATTTATCACAATTTTAATTAAAATATATAATTAAATCAAATTTAAAAAAGCAAGACTTCCCCAAAGTAAGTACAGTATATCACGGACCATAGTACCCGGGTATCTCAAATTTTAGGGGGTTGATTGACGCTATTTATTTAGGGGTGTAAAGGGTTTTAAAAACTTGTAGGATATCCAAAAAATAATAACAAAAGAAAATGGAGATTTTTTTTTTCATAAAAAGAGGGGGTTACTATACATACTATACATGGGTACGATGACTCGTGATATATGGTAATTACGTAACAGTAAATACAAAATTAAAATCATTTTTATTAAAATATTTAAAATATTAACTTTTTTTGGTTTTTTTTTTTTTTTGCGAATTTCAAATTTTATTGATTTTAATTTTTCGACTTTTTTCCCCAACTTTGAACTGCAAATCATTTTGGGGTAAATGGTTGTAGTATTATGATGGCGTTTTTTGTCCTACGGAACCAATTTTGGAAATTACTCAAACTCGAGAACTGGGGCAAATTCCAATTTTGGGACAAACAATTGTCAATCTGTTTTTTAGATCTTCAAAATGTAAATGTGTGACATTCCATTATCGGTAGTTGAAGAGAATGGGGTAACTTTAGTACAAAATTTATTTTATTGATGCTGAAAATCAAAAAATTTCTGATGCAAATTTGCAAATTTATTTTCGTACAATATCAATGTACAGTATATATTTACTACTAATTGAAATGGCCATATTTGAAATCATTTTACATCACACAAATATAATCTCTGATTCCTTCCTTAAGCAAATAGAACCGCAAGTGATCCTCGTTATCCGACAGAGAGGGAGTTTACCCAACATTTTTTGACCTACATTAAAAAATTAATGTACAGTAGGTCAAAAATGCTGGGTAAACTTCTTATCTGTCGAACCGGCGAAACTCTATAACTCTTTTTAACGAAAAATATTAAATTTCTGTCTCTGAAAAAAAAAATGATTTTTGACTTAATTATACTTATAATGGTTTCTTATAAACTGAAAAATTTTATGAGAAAATTCTTATATTTATTTTAAATAATCGTAATCGTTTAAAAATTTACTATGTATTTGTTATTTTTTCATGAAACATAATTTTTCCAATCCTTAACTTTGTTTTTTTATCCTTTTGATAAAATATTAATTTAAAAATATCCATTATTAACTTATATTATTATTATACAGGGCGTATTATATACACTGTAGAAATAAATGTTTTCGATTATGAATAGTTATAAAATTATAAAGTTCCTGACATCGAAATTTCAATAATCGATAAGAAACTCTAAACAAAACACTTTTTTTTTGTTCTTTTTTATTTCACGCTTGGCCTCATTTAAAAAAAAAAGAACTTCATAATGCCTTTGAACATCATTTCTAATTAAACGAAAGTATCTACGCAAACTAATGTAAAATAATTGGTTTAAATTTTTAATTTGGTATAAAAGTTTCGAAACAAACAAAAAAAATCTTCCAAATTCTTTAAATCAAAGTATATATGTGTATTTATCGTGGAACTTATTTTTTGATAATTTTTTTATGACGAAATCACTACTTCAAATCACCATCACGGCTTTAATAATTCTTTAGGGATATAAACAACGACTTTTAACTTTTAGTAAAAAAAAATTATCTAATATTATTTATATTATATTAAACCATGTATATATTGACCGGAATAACCGAATAACCACAGCGAAATAAATCATGATATTCGAATCATATATTATCTTGTTAGAATAATCATAAATTTTGATTATTTAACATAGAGGTCAGTTTATTTATAAGCGACAACTAATGTAATTAATATAAACGAGAGATATTTAAGATTGTCTTTAATAGTCGTATAAATTCATAAAAAAACTAACAATACAAATTGTAATATAAGTTTTAAATTCCATTATATTTATTATATTTACAAGTTATATATAGACTAGTCATAGCATATTTTACTTTAACGATATGTTGCCATCTCCAGAAGATACTTTTTTAAAAATATTTTTTTTTTTTAGAAAAAAAAAAATATTTTTAATTAAACACTTAAAACCAGGTATTCAATATTCTCACGAAAAAAAAAAGTCATGATGACATGATCATGGTAATAAAATAATAATTGGAATATTTATTGGCAATTTGGCATAATAAAGAAACCTACTTCAAACTACTATCGTCCGATTTGATCTTAAAAATCACGTGACAAACTCCAAGAATCCCAATATTTACCGAGATGCATAATAGAACGGCTTAATAAAGATAAAACAATTCTCTTCTTATAAACTGGAAATTTCTTCATGGATTATGGATAATTATCAACGCTTTCTTAATGTCGATATGTTTTATTTTATTATAATATTAATTGATGAATCTTACATACGGAATATTCATTATTTAACAATTTGATTTTTATTTATTAAATTTAACTGTACATTATATATACATCACAATATATCATCTAAAGCATTATTAAAAGGTTATAATTCTATTAATTAGCTCTGTCGCCCACCCATCAAAATTCGTTTAGCAACGTCACTCATGGAAGGTCGTTTATCTGGTTCATCGTCCCAACATTCTAAATACAGTAAATAAATAAATATATATCATTAGTAAAAATTAAATATAAGAATAAAATATTATTATTATTATTATTATTATTATTATATTTACCGGTATAAAGTTCAGAGTAATAAGTGGGAGTATTAGGTATTACTTCTTCTCTAACACCACTTATTATTTGTATGACCAATTCAACGGAACAATCATCACCGAATGGTGGTTTCCCACTTGATATTTCCCATAATAGAACTCCAACACTATACACATCACTCTTCTTATCAAGTTGAGATGTTACATTTACTTTAAACATCTTGGGATCCGTGTAAGGGAAAATGGAGGAATCAGGTTGAAATTCTTTGATTTTTTTATTCACCTTATTAAAAAACTTTAGTTTCACCGTATTCTGATGAACCAATATAGTGTTGGGATTCTATTATAAAAAAAGTTAATAAATAGTAAAAATATAAATTATTTTTTTCACTATAAATAATAATATTAGTTTTAAATTACCAAATAACCATGCACAATTTCTTCATCATGTAAGTCTGATACGACGGAAACTAATTGAATCGCTAAATGGTGTTTATCTTCCCAAGTTAATCCTTCAAATTTTGCTTTCAGATATTGGCGAAGGGTACCACTGTCAGCATATTCCATCACCAAATAACAACGTTCATTTTCTGATCAAAAGAAAGAAAGAATAAAAAAATAAATATATATAATCATATTTTTTACAAAAAAGAAACTTTTTTTTTAAGATAATTATTTCGGTTTATACCTGGTTCAAAATTTACAACTCCATAAAACTTTAAGACGTTTATATGGGCATTAAATTTACGTCTTGTTTCAAGCTAAAAAAAAAATAAATAAATTTTAGAATTTTAGTTTATTTTTTTTAAAATATTATAATACATATTAAACATAATTACATCTTTAATAAGATCTTTGACGATAATATCATTAGTATTAACACATTTTAACATATAAGATCTGGTCCCCGAATTTTTATTTGCATAATAAGCCTTTCCAAGATTCCCGTCACCAAGTTCTTTATCATTGTGAAATTCGTTAATGTCAAAACATTTAATATTCTTTTCATTAACCCACTCGTGAAACATAGTTTATGTATATATATATATATATATCACGTATTAATAATTTACGTAAGAAGTTACAGAAAATATCTAGAATAAAAGAGAAAAAATCTCAAAAAAGCACATACCGGCAGGCTGCATATTATACGCACCAAGTTTGAATACATAATCATCACGTTATACATATTGATCGGCAACATACTTTTAAAAAAAAAAAAAATTTTACAAAAAATGCAAAGCTCTCACGAACCCTAATTCTGAAAATAACATATTTTGGTAGAATCAATCTAATCTAAGATGAAGTTTTGATAAGAAATATTCCATCAATTGAATCATAAATAATCATAAATAATCATAAATAATTACAAAAATTAATTATAATTCATTGATGGTCTTCCTGATAAAGAATTCATTTGAAAAAAAAATTAAAAGGAAACATAATGAATTTGGTTTAGTGCTTTATTTTCTCACACAAATCGAGGTATATCATTCGTGTTTTTTGCATAATTATAGTTACATAATTCTTATCAATAGATTACTCTATATGGAGAAATGGCTTTATCATCTCATCTTAAATCAGAAAATACTATTTATGATCTACCTATCTCATGCTCTAGTTCGGGAACTTTCTATGCAGATTTTACCAAAAGCTTTTTCTTTAAAAAAAAAAAAAGAAAGAAAGAAAAAATTATTATACGATGATTATCTAATTATTTATGAAAGAAAACCAACGTGAAAAAAGCATGATTTCCTTGATTTGATCAAAGAAAATTTCAGTGACTATTGGTACATTACATTAGGTCCAACACTACCTCATTAATCATATCGTGATTTTTGAAATAGGTGTTGTATCACGGGAACTAGTTTTACCCAGGTAAGAATTGTTCGCACACACAAAGTTTCTTTAATAGTAGTTCACGCAATGGGATAATAGCTTACATTATGCTTACATTATCGTTCGTTTTAGCAATCTAAGTTGTGGGAAATTCCAAATACAAATTTGGGTGATAAGACACCCAACTAAAATTGGCAGTGAAAACGAAACTATACAGTACATTTCGTCTATTTTACCGGTAAAAACTCGACATTTCCATAGGACCGCAACTAAAGAATTGATGGATCACTAAGGCAAACAACAAAAGCGTTTGTGAAATTCTCATGCAACGAAAAGCGAATCGTGACATCATTTAACTTTAATAACTAAAACTGCTGCGCTATCAATGGTATGATTTACAGAAAAATTAATGGTTGTTAAGGAGGGACTAACAAGTAACAACTTATATTCTAATATTTCCTTCTTGAATAGTTTCCGTTACGTAATCAATGTGCAGTTATTCTACGGAACTACATGCACGCCATTTTTTTATTTATATCAAAGATTTGATTTGAATGTCTGGGATAATAAGGGGTAGTTTATAGAATTTGTATAAGGATGTGGTCTATACGATTTCCGTATTCGGGATGAGAAGCTTTACGTGTGACGCATACTTAAAGTTTAGAATCTAATATAGGTATATTTAATCATTAATCTTGTTCTGATTTCTGAACTGATTAATGAATCTTATTTCAAGTTAATTAATCATTTTTGAAATTATTTTTTATTTATTTATTTATTTTTTTTATAGCAATTATATATTTACCTGTCGTACGAGAATGTCATTGGTTAGTATAATTTCGAAATACATTTATTTTTACCGAATTGTTGAAAATATTTGATGGGCATGATATAGCTGATAGGCTAATTGATGTGTTTACTGTTATTCCCAGGCTATTAAACAACGGAACTTGATCGCTGATCAAATTACTCGCAAAAGGGGTAATTGATTTGCGATCATAACAAAGCGAGGAAATTACAATTTCAATTAAGAGTGACATGTATAGTATCAAGGTTTATACCATCATATCACGGAGATGATGATTTGGTATAGTTAATACTCTCAATATCTCTAACATTCTTTACATTCCTAATTTTATACTCTCAAATCTCATTATTATTCTACCCTTTATGTTGTAAATACAATGATTATATTTTATTTCAATAAATTAAATTGATCCAATGAATTGAAGGATATACAATTATGCGTGATGTTAAATCATATGCTCAATTACATAATAAATATATGAATATGGTTTATCATATATTATCATAGAGTAATCAATTATTTATTTTTTGATCTTGAGATATTTGCAATGATAAAAAAGATAAATAAATTTAAGTTATTTTAAGTAGATTTTTTAAATTAAAATTAATGTTCATTTAGTCTTTTTTGGGTAAGGGTGTAAGGGATGTTTTAAGGAGTTATATTTTTGGATCATGAGAAAGAAATATTTTATGGTATACATTTTCAATAAGGTTAAAAAGGGGGGGATATCAAATTGATTATTTATAGATAATTTGAATGATATACTAGGCAGTATAATTCCATTTTGGAATTTGGATACATGAGGGAAATATAATGAACGGAACATTCTTCTTAAATGTCAATTTTTATTTGAATAAATCATTAATTTTTCTAAACTAAATCAAAATTGCATTAAAAGAAAAATCTGAAAGTTAAAATTTATAAAAATAGAATTATAGATTCTTGATGGTTATGATAAAATATATTTTTTTTTTCAAATTTGGCCTTTGATGTAAATTTTTTTTAAGAATTCTTGAGAATTAATTTTTTATTACAAACATTACAAACTATATCCTCTAGAAAGACTTTTTTTTTTTGATGAATCATCTCCTTTTGTTAATAAGCATTTTATCATCCTGATTATATATAAGTCTAGTGATTAAAAAAATTAACATTAAAATTTTTTGATCGCATATTTGATCGCATATTTGTTCTATATTTGTTCTATCATACTTGATTATTCTTACAGTTAACTCGCAAAGCTCGCCTGATAGTTAAAATAACCCAAACTCGTTATACTTTTATAACAAAGAATTTGTTTATATCATCAAAGATTCGTTATAAAGTAGGATGACTATAATTTGATGGAGGGATAATTGAAGGTAGAAGGACAGAATAGGTAGATGATTCATGATGGTAAATGGTATAATACCTTCTAAATTCTTTTTTTCTATGATTTTGGAGGTGGATTCAACTATAACTTTAATTTAACACAACTATAACTTAATATAACACATTGTAACCCTATTTTTATAATTTCCCGCAACGTATAGGTCAACGGATCTGCGTAATAAGGTGCCTGTACCCAAAAAAACAACAATGCACAATGCAGAATCTGTAATTAATTTTAAAAAAAAAAATCAGAAAATCAAAGGCGTAATAACTCTACGTACAATATAGTTAATTGAAAACGGAGAACAACTGAACAAGACCTACCTATTCAATGAATTAAAAATCGCATTAATTGAAATCCTAAAAATAAATGCGTTTCCAACAATTTTTAAAATTTGATCGCTAATATTTTTATAATGCAATGAATAAATTTTGAATGATCTTATTAATTCCAACTCTTGTGAATTCTAATTACTCTAACACTTGAGCAGAATTTTTTTTTTTTTAAAAAAAAAAAAAAAAAAAATTACTTAACATATATTGTAAAAAAAAGCAATAAAAACCGCCATAGAGTTTTTGGCAAACAATTTCTCTCACCTCTCACAGGGTCTTGTTACTCTTGTATTCCATTTCAAAAGAATATAATTTGCTTGTTTAAGATTTTCAACAAAGAGAATATAATTATTAAAAATGTATATTAAAAAAGGGGGGAAATCTCTCCGAAAATCCTCATCGTATACAAAAGTTTTACAAAGATTGTTTTAAAACCAACAACAAAATAAATAATAATAATAATAATAATAATAATAATAATAATAATTAATAATCAAAAAGATAAGGTCTACTAAATAAGAAGAAATGAATATTCAGTAATTTACCTAACTTGTGAAATTTGATGAGGAGAACACTTTTTTTGTTAGATGATCATGTAGTACAAACTTGTGGAGAATGGATTTAAATCGAACTAACCGAAATAGTAAATATGTGTGGGGTATTACTATATTGACATACGAAAAACGATATTACAGTATGAATGACGCTATTCTCCTATTCGTTTAATTATAATGACATTTTTGTGAATTATCACTTTATATTCCGGTTAATTGTATTTGGCCAGTCATTGTAATAAACTAAGAAGTAAGAACTAAGAACTTCCAAATTAAATTAATTACATTTTTGGGTTTTATACGTTTTTGATTTTATACGTTTTTTTTTTTTTTGATTTTAAAACGTTTTTGGTTTTAAATCAAATTAAATTAAAATCCAAAATCAGCTGATGAACAAAAACCGTTAAAACTGGTTCACCTCTTTCACCTATTACATCTCATTCCCCTCAAAAATAATATACTTAAATAATGTAAATAATGTACTAATTATTCTAAATTATTGAAATTCTGGATTCTGTTTTTCAAATTATGAATTTTCTTTTTCTGATTTACAAACATTTAATTTAACAAATTTTCGTCTTATACAAAATTAAAAATATTATTATTATATAATTTCGGGATGAATAATAACATCTAAATTGATTTTAAAATTAAATAATCAATTATTATTCGTTTTTACCGATGGAATTTTATTTTTTCTAATTTAGCATCTTATTCAAAATATATATACAGGTGATTTTATAAAGGGAAGATAAGGTAGATCAAATTTCGGCGAAATTAGGGTACAAACCAAAAAAAAAAAAAACACTATAAAAAAAGCCCATATTATTTTTTAATTTAAGATTATCACGGAATGATCAAATAAAGAAATATGATCCGATTGCACAATGTGATATAAATTACATCGCGCGTAATACGGATAAGATCTGTAATCTATAAATAAACGTTCGTTTCTTCGTTTTTTTTTTTTTTTTTT